CCTTTTTCTTTTTCCATTGCGTATTGGTTAGGTATTTCTTTATAATAGTATCATGAATATTAGGAAGAGAATCCGCAGGCAGGGAGGTATAAGTGGCATCTACTAATTACAATGAGAAAAAATAGATTCTTTGTTTTTCCATTTTTGCATTATGGTGCCTTGCGGATAAACGTCTGGTAACCGAGGAATTACCTTCTATTTCATCTCTAATTTAGAAAACTCCGTTGTATACTACTCTTTCACTGGAAAATATCGAACGATTTGCTCTAAATGTAATACAATTCAGAAACCTACTTAGATTACCACTAATATGCTTCTTGAATGTACTAATACCTGAATCATTAATATGATACAAGTAAATACCTTTAAGATTATTTGATTCATAAGGAACATATTCCATATCATGAGTTGCTTTTTCTATGTACTTTATTTGATTTTTAAAATTCCTGTTGCTTAGAGATATAAAAGATAGTATTTTTCCATTTCTAATATTTGCTTTTACACTGCTGCTACTGCTTTTACTTACCATCACTATTAAAAGAAGAAGAAAAAAGAATATCAATTGAACTGACAATACTTGAAACATTCGTAAGCAATCACAAAAATGAAAATGGTAATATTTGCATGCTTCTAATACAATTATTCAATACAAAAGAATTATTCCTTATACTGTATTATCCCTATTTTTTGTTTATTACAAAAATAAGAGGCAACTACTGGAGATGTATAAAATTATATTTGTGCTACTGTTATTGTTTCTATGCGAAACTATTGATGTGGAGGAAGTAGAGTATAAAGGTACAATCATTCACTATTAATACCCTAGATAATAAAACGTGTTTTGTGACTATTATTCTTGATACAAATCGTACCATAATCCCATATGAAGAAATAAGAGACATCACCATTCATTCCTGCATAATCAATTATTTTTATGTAATTTCGCATGATATAAACTATGATATGCGTACCCTTGCAAGTGAATCGCAACTACCTTATCCTTATATTATTCGGTCGTCTTATCCTGATAATGGATATTTCCCTTTTATTCTATCTTTACTAAGAACAAGTAATTATACCCTTATTATCAAAGATATCGGGTTTGAAGAAGGTTTGCCAGATGGTTCTTGGATCGATAAATCAATTAGGTTATTGTCAAATTCTTTTCCTTCTAGTGTTATTTCTTGTGCCTCACCTTATGAACCTGCAGATAAGTGGCAAGTTGATGGATGTTTACTGGTTAAGTCGATCGAGTTAAGAAGCATTATTGTTAACACAGAGTTCAAGAAACAAATGGCTGATGCATTTTCCTACTTTTCACAAGCGTTTTCGTGTCTATTCAATTCGAAAATACAGTTTATTCCATGCCCAACTTACAAAAAAAAGTATAGAAATTTTCGAAACCAGGATAAGCCATCATTATCGGTCCTCAATGAGACTGAACAAGAATGTAAACAACGCTTAGGCTTAGAAAGAGTTGAATGCAAAGGTAGTTGGCCACAAAAACGTCAGGTGTCCTTGGTGTTATCTCAATTTAAAAGGCAATACTATATGGAACAAATCGAAGGGATTCTGAGTTCATCCGAAGAGCTCGGCGAAATAGTGGTATATCAAAACGGTTTGCACGTGAATTACAAGCCACTATTTGACCGCTTTAAAAATATCAAACACATTTGGGCCATTAATTGGGATTCTCCCTTCTTTTTACGCCACTTAATTCCGCTACTGTTCACATCATATTATCATATTGTTTTCGATGATGATATCATTCCCTCAAAGTACACGATCAAACACTTATTAGATGTGATTGATAAATATGATGCTCCTACTGGAGTCGGAGCACGTATTGTCTCGAAAATGCACTATCCAGATTCCTCTTTTGATTTAGTGAATGCTGATAAAAATGATGATAGCACACCTATTCCGGTTGATTATGTGATTCAGGTGTATGCCAAAACATATGTTCAAGCAAAAGTATATTGGAGATATCGTCCATATACTCACCGAAATGGTGATGATATTCATGGCTCAATAACTTGGTTTATGGAATGTCATCAAAGGCCATATAGGGCTTCCTTTAAAAATGAGGGAAAATACAAGCATTACGGAAAGGATGCAGTTGCGTCGTACAAAACAAAAACTCATAACATAGTGAGACCACAAACATACAGAAGTTGGATAATGGCAGGATATAAGGGAATCCGAGACCAATCGGTCAGAGATAGGTTTCCGTGGACAAATCAATACTGGGAGAGTTCATATTTACGTCAAATCCATAAGCTATGTTTCTTTGTTTATTGAGAATAAATAAATTGTGTTTTTACAAATCAGGAACATAAAAACAGTTATGTGAGTTGCGACTAATACAAACCATAGTTTGCTTCACTTTCTGTATTCGATAATAGTATTGTTGCTACTGAGCTACGTTTATTTATGAAGCGTAGTTTTGCTGTTATTATTATAATTATTATATAATTTTAATATTTTGTGAAAACATACAAAATTGGAGCACTGTCAAATAATATGTATCTTTCAAAGTATTCCACATTAGAAACATATGTTACTACATGATCCACAATTGTTTGGACATAAAAGAATAAGTTAGGAAACGTTCACTTTAGCTTTTGGTGTGATGTAGTAATACAAGGCAGATTAAATTAAAACAATAAAATATACATACCTTGATACATAAGGAAAAAGCTAATCACTAATTGTGATGTATAAATTATATCACTGATTACAATAGTATTAAATTGGATACATAGAACTTGACACTATCGTGGATTTGCATATTTATGTAATATCACTAATTCTTATTTCTTAATGGGACGTTCTAAGTTTATTCTATTTTATTTTATTCTTTCATTCTATTGTATTTCAAACTATAATAGTTATCGATTCCAATTCTCTTGTGAATATGTTGCTGTGTATATACTTGATCCAAAATTACGTGTGAAAAGTACTGTTCTTCATAATCCTACCAAGACTTCGGAGTCCATATATTCTGAAGAAGTTGGACTGTTAATCAATCATCTTCCAAACAACCAACTCAAGGATATCTCGATTCCATTCGTTATTGATTCGTCCTATTCCATAATATCAAAGCTTATTGTTGAAGAGGATTCTTGGTATATAAAAGACTACGTATATTCCCAAAACATCTGGTTATTAAAATGGGTATATTTTTATTTTTAGGAAACAAAAGTTTGATGTAATCGTGAGGATCCTTCAAAAAAAATACAACGAAATGTAGTTCTGAATTACACATATGACATTTAGAGAATCCAAGAGGAACCGTAATGAGACCAAATTCCTAGCAAGCGATTACTCGGTAGTTTCAATTAAATGTGTAAAAAATACTCAGTCACCATTTATGAATGCTCATAATATATGTATTAATTCGTCCATGTACTGGAAGATATTTTTAGAAAGCGGAAAATTCAACATTCATTATCCTCATAATTCTAGTAACCGTTCTATTTCTTTTTTCATATCGCTTTTAGATGGTCTCACAAAATCGATGTTGTAAAGGGGAAGATACCTCAGAATGTGAAATGGATCAATACCAAGCAGTTTTTTGTTTCTCAGCCCTATGTATCAAGGCATTTAGGTCACTTTACAGAATCAGTAAATCACGCTTTATTAAAGCTTCGTTTTCCATCTGCTTATTTGCCATTGACAGATCTCTTCTTCCCAACCTTTCCTGTAGATAAAGTTAAATGGACAAATGCATATCTAAAACTACTATTGAGCCTCTATCCCGATAATATGCGTCCGTTAGTTCATCTCCCTGGTAGTATTCCCATTGACACCCTGACTTGTTTTCGAACTGCTGTATAATTAGGAATTGGTACTAATGATTAGGTGTTGTTAGATAAATGCATGTTTGGTGGGGGATTATCGTACTGGCCAGGCTTTTTTTCTCAAGATATGATGAGAGCATCGGCATATCGCTATGTTGACATTCCCACAAAATTGAATAAACCACAATTGTTATCTTTGCTTATCGTCGATCGAAAGAAAACGAGAAGTTTTATTGATGGAAAGAAATGGATACGAATCATTGGTTCCCGCTTTAAAGTTTATGCAGAGATTACTAGCGTTATTTTTAGAATCTGTCCATTTCGTACTCGTTATTAGAAAACATTTCCTTCAAAAAGCAGGTCCAACTTTTTTACGAAACGGATATTTTTATGTCTACTCATGGTTGTGCCCTCATAAACATTATGTTTGCTACCCCACACTCAGTAGTGATTGAATGTGATCCTCCCTACTTTTATGAAATGAGTTACACTGAAAATGTTATGATATCGCGAGTTCACTATATTTTGGTTTCGTCTTATTCCTCTCATCCTGCTAATGATACTCGTTGGATGAAAGCGCAAAATGCATACATGGATGGTAGTTTCTACGTCATTCACAAACAGTATGTGAATCTTAAAGTGGATCCTCCATTGGAAAGTGTTCTGTTTGCAGTACAAGATGCTATTGAATATCTGAATCGATGGCGTTTCATCTATGAAACGAATGATAAGTGGTCTCCCTTATTCTATTGAAGTGTTTTCTTTAACCCACATTACGATGTAACATTCTAAATTGTGATGCAAGGTATGCCCAATATAATACGTTGCAATGTTACGTTGTTTGTATTCCTGTTTCCATCTATACTTTTTATTATCACATGCTAGTGGTAAATATAGCTCCCTTTATTCATTTGTATATATATATATATACATATATATGTGTTATTTGTTTTACATAATACATTACTTACGATTCTTACCATCATCTTCTTATTGTCTATTTGATCAAGCATCTTTCCTTCACATAGAAAAAAGATTCATTCTGTGTATTCTTTGAATAGAATACTTATGCTCATGATTCCTCAATTCCACATTTTTCCTATCTAAATTATCATTCACACAGAAATTATCCTTCGACTCCTTGTATCTATAAAAAACAAACTGAAGAAAATAGTTCATTTTATATGATTTACAAAATTATGGTTTCCACTCCCTATCAATCACTCTCGACACATAGGGACCATCTAGTCTTGTATACTTCATTATTGATCTTGGAATATATGTATTATCTATCCTGATTTGATATGTATCCTGAATTGATCGTAGCAAATTTCCTGATATTTTCTTACATTTTTCCTCATCATTTCCAAATTCCCAATGAAAAGCGGGATGATAATCAAAGTCCCAGTTCATTGATCTGCGAGGCTTGATATTATTTAGTAAAGCAGACAAGACAGATTGATCCTGCCTGTGGTTATCTTTATTTGAATTACGAGGAGATACGCACTTTTGCGTAAAGGCGCATTGATAATAGGGATATAACACTCTTTCCACAACATCACTATGAGACCAGTCCGATACAATCAAGCCAGTCGAACAATTAGGGTCATCGTAGCTGAAATGATCGATCAAATGATGCTGGATAAGGAAATTAGCAGTATCCGGATGCGTCCAACGCTTTTGGTTTCCTTCCGACGGAGGACTGTAAACTCCATCCACACGAGCATTCGTTATCTCTCGACTGATTCCTTCCCTGATTAGATTGCCTCCATCGTTCCACATTGTAATACCTTTCCATGCAAAAGCGGCATCCATGTGGGCAATCACCTTCCCGATATTCTTTTCTGTCCACATCCATTTCGGGAATGAGTTCCACTTGAACTTTCGATAGGCTATAAAACCATTCGACTTCATTTTCAATTGGACTTGGCGAATCGACTCAAAGTGAGCAAAGAGAATATTCCGTTCTTTGTCCGTGAGTCCGAAATCGATGTACAGGTACGAAGCATAAGGATCGGCTAATACCATAGAATATAAGCAATTGAAGGACGCAAATGCTTGGTCGTCCGAAGCTCCAGTGACCATCAGTACATCCGATTTTTGATATTGAAATCTAGGAATATTGCCGGTGAGAACATAAGAAGGAGAACCAACTGAAATTCCATAATTCTCATACCGCATTGAGATATTAGAGACCAAGACGTTGAATGGAATAGGATACTGGATATCGTCATAGTCATATTCTATAGATTACAGCACGAAGAAGAAGAATATACGATTGCGTTCAAACTTTCCAAACTCGGTGAATTTGTCCCAATCGTTGGAACCATCCGTTTGTTTCATTTCAAACTTCTGAGCAGACTCGCTGTCATAATTCTGTCTTATTGCCATATCAGAATGGTGACCTGAGTTTTCATTAGAGAAAACATGCAATTCATGAATAATATTGCCTAGAACTAGCATACAAAAGAGCGACAAAATCCAGGAAATGCACTTTTGTATGAAGCCACTCATATTCATGAAAAAATAAGCCAAAAGGAAGACAATTATTGAAACTCCCATCCTTTACAGTTGTTCGCTTGGAATCGTTTTGGGTCGTTAGGGTCTCCATTTGAATTAGGATCGAAGGATATGGCTTAAAGATCATAGAAGTGAATTCGTTTGTCTTTTGTCACATGCAAGACAGTTTATAGGTGCAATATGAGTATCTAGTTGTAGAAGACAATTGGTGTATACATTTTGCTTCAAACCCTCAGCTGGACCCACTTTGGGATCTTTCATGCAAACATTCCCATATCTTCATGTCTCACTATTGCGTCACCTGAATAATAACAATGTGAACCTCCTATCTTTCCTACCAATCGGTTTTTAGGTTTTTACAATTCATTTTTTGGTCCTTGGTTTTGTATTATTAATATGATAGTGTGCTGGTATCGAAGGGATATTGGATGCTTCATTGTTGATAATGGTAGGGTGTTTTGGTCTCTTGTTTCTAGCAAAGCCTTCTGACCTGGATTCTAGTTTTGATTTCTCGTTGCCAGAGAAGGTTTTATATTCTAAAGTTTACTTTTCTACCCCAATCATTGATTTGTGTACAACTACCGAACTATCTGCAGAATCGTTTTTTGATCTGTGCCATGAGGAGTCTCCACTATTCTTTTTTCGATTCCTTGTGTTTTCCAAACTCTGTAAGTGTGGCTGGTATTGATTTTCCACAATCTTGCGTAAATTATAAGGACTGTTACGAGTGGCGCGGATGTAGGGTGCGATTATTGCCTCTATCCCACTGATGTTGATTCTTCGCATTCCTTGTCTCTCGTTTCGTTGGAATACCCGGTTGGAATTGGTTTTTCGATTTTCCTGTTTTGGTTCACTGGTAGTTCAACCTGTTGCTGGAAGTGAATTCTTTTCGTCTAATTCTTCAATTTACTCTCCTTATTCTTGTTTTTTGTCGGAATCAATTCCGTCGCAACTCAATTTGAAAGACAATTCCAATACAGGTGTTCACTGGCGAGATATTCAACGTTTTTCTCGCCTCTCGGGCATTCGTAGGAAGTATTGGAATCGCGCAAGTTTGATCACTTCATCTCCACTCTCTTGTCGTACCCTTTCTGAAACGCTCAACTTGGATCGTTCCTCGTCCCTTTCGCTTGTCCAGTTTCAGGTAATCGACTCTTTTCTCTGTAAACTCTCTCAGCACTGGGATCCTGCCCATCCATCAAGCGAAGCCGCAGAGTATGTAACGAAAGACTAGTAGCATGTTTGTGAACAAACCTCCGAAACACGAATGACTCACATTCTTGGTTCCCGCACTTGCTCTCCCATCCTGGGATCATGCCGATCGGGACGATCTGGACGATCCGGACGGTCGGGACGAGTCGGTCGACTGGGGAACATGGTGGGTACGCGATTTGCCAGTCCATACGCCCCGCTCGCCCCACTCTCATAAGCGCGGTTCCCAGTTCGATTGGGATACGACGGGACAGCAGGCTGCGTTTCGCGAGGAATGTATACACCAGGAAGAGTCGAATTCATATATGGATATCTCTGTACAGGATTGACCATACTCATCTGAGGAGTAGGCCGTGCATGGCTCATTGCCTGCATCTGGACGGTGCGATTTATAGGATTACGGTAAGCAGCTACAGAGCAACGCCGGCCAAACACTCACCTTCTTTATACATCTCACGGAACTCGGGCGGAGCAGCGTATTTGAGGGCACTGAGCATGTAGCCACTCGAGTTCAGACAGTGCTTAGGCAGCTTGCTGTCGTTGAACTTCTCCGTTAAATTGACCCAGTCGTACACACCATCGTTCTTCAGCTTCTACAAAGGGAATCGGGAGTGGAAAGAGCCAACTCGTTCATCCAGAGCAGTTTTGAAAAGTCGACGTAGATAGCGATAGTTAGGAACTTGATCGAACTTCAGATTTCGACAGTATTTCATGTAATCAATGAACTGAGGCGGAATTCCTTCGCAGAGCGACTCAAGAGATGTCTACATTTCAGGGGCGCAAAAACTACAAACTGCCATTTTCGAACGCTTTATCAACTCGTATTTCTTTTGTTTCGCGGTGGCTGGAAGGCCTTGCCATGGGAGACGGCCCTTCAAGAAGTAAATCAGAACATATCCAAGAGACTCCAAGTCATCACGCCGACTTTGCTCTCTTCCTAAATGATTGTTGATCGATGCATAGCGAGGAGTGCCTGTTAAACTCTTGTTCTCTCGATATCTATTGTTCAACCGCAAAAGCAGACTCTACGGAATGTGCTCCTTTGTTCCGGGTGTTCGATACCGTTTGGATAAACCAAAATCAATAACATAAACCACATTCGCTCTCTCTCCCAGTCCTAGAACAAAATTGTCGGGTTTGATATCGCGGTGAATAAAATTTCGGTGGTGAATAAACTCCAGACGGGTGAGCAACTCAATTCCCAGCATTAGGACTGTCTTTTCGGAAAATCGTCTATAACAGTAATTGAACATGTCCTCTAGGCTTGGGCCCAGCAGATCCATCACCATTATGTTATAGGTTCGGGAATCTTGTTGAAAGAACACCCGAGGAATCCCCATTCCACCTTCGAGGTATTTGTATACTTTAGCTTCATAGGCGAGTTGAGGGCTTTTACAATTGGCCATCTCCTTCTTTATGGCTACAGATTGCTTGGTCTGCACATTCTGGCCAAGGAAGATTTGACCAAATGCTCCTTGCCCTATTAGGGCACCTTCCAGATAGATCCCGTTAATCAACTCACTCATGTAGATTATAGAAAATTATTACAGAGCAGATTGCAAGAAGATGATTTACGACTCTAGGAAGTGTTTTACCTTAGAATGGTAATAACGAAAATGGACTCGATTTTGCATATTTCAATAATTGCCCCTATTTTCTGTGATTGTCAATATTCTATGTTTTCGTTCCTAGTTGTATCGCTGGCTGTTTGGCTACGCTATTCTCCAGGAGAATGAAAGGAGCGAGTCTGTACTTTCCATTTGGTAATTAGGGAATCATTGTTTGTATAAGGGTTGGAAAATTGAATCGCTAAAGAGATTTTGTGCTTATTGCGACATGTATAATGTACTGTATTCTCTTTCTTAAGATAGCAAGAATTTGACTAGATATCTGCAGGCAGTCATGTCTTATCTGAATAAAAACACTTGATTTTTTGTGTTCATGTTGTTGATTTGTGAGACAACCTATGTTACTGCTGAGTAATATCTATTTTGCAAGCTAGAATTGTATCCATATTGACTGTGTAAAGAGAAGATACACAACAAAGAGTCGAATCGACCTCTTGTTTGATAAATAACAATCCACACTCAAAAACTAATCTCCTCCATTATTATTATTACTATTATTATTTGGTAATTGTGAACTAAGTACAAAAAAGAGTGTTTCAAACAAACCAACTAAAAACCTATAAAACATTAGATATGTCCAAGCAAAAACATCAAAGAAACAAAAATATAGAGTGTTCAGACATCCAAGGAAAATCCTGCATCAGTGTATACTTTGCCAAATATACACTCTTGGGTAGCCTGCGAATGGAATACCAATTTTTTTCATCTCTACACCCTCACATGTGTACTCAGACATCCAAGGAAAATCCTGCATCAGTGTATATTTTGCCAAATACACACTCTTGGGTAGCCTGCGAATGGAATACCAATTTTTTTCATCAGTGTACACCACCAAACAAGTCAGAGAGCAACGTAATCTTCTAACACGGTATCTTCAGTCCGCCCGTTGCCAGCTCATCATCCCGAAAATCCAATCTCACTCCACTTACCTATACCTAGATGAACTTGAAAGAAATAATGCCGACCGTTCAATGCTCACCTATCATATGAATGAACAGAATTTGGTTCATCCAATGATTTTGCACTTAGAGTTCTACTCCAATTTGTATCGTATAGGATTAGAAAGGGTATTATATCAGAGGCCACGAATGTAGTCTACGAATGGTGTTGAAAGGGAAGGAATATGAGCAGAGTGGCTTTGTCTCTTTCAAACGTATGCTCGGGTATTGAGCAGCTTGTAGCAAGAGCATATAGAGAAGTGCTTGTAACATAAATGCAGGTAACTGTTATCTTTCACCTGCAAATTCGCTCACTACTAGATAATATTGTTGCTAGTTTTTAGCCAACAATTTTTTCATCGAATTTGCATAGATTTGTGGTTTATGCTTTATAACTGTATTTTCGTTTCTGGAAGTGTGCTTTGCGTTTTCAATAGATTGTATGCATGCTGGATATCGTGTTTTGAAGGTAATATAGAAACACAATCCACCAATCTCTTAAACTCGCTCCTTTCTCTTTACCAATTCCCCTATTCTGTATGTAGTTCCAACAAATAACATAATCAAAGTATATCCACTTTTAATGCTTGCCCCTTTGCCATAACTTATCAAATATTTCCTTCTCTTGATCACACCGTAGCTGAACCATCGCCTTTGCAATCTCCGTAGCAAACTTGTCGATATCCACCGCATCTTTGCCTTTGACCTGGGTATTACTATTGAGCGTATTTTCCTTCTCAGCACCCTCCGCTTGCTTTTTTGCCTTGAGTTCGAGCATTTCTCCTTTGATGATTCGCTGAGCATCCTCCCCCGAAATGGTTTCGTGTTCCTCCACGGCCTACTTCACTAGAAAGCAAACGGAGCCTACATCAGCCAGTTTTAGCAAAATGTGCTTATTGTTCTCGATGAGGGACTTTGCGCGGTTGTAGCTCTCCGAGAGGATTTCTTCGATCTCCAAGTCGTTCTTTCGCTTGGTAGCTTCCGAATAGTTCGGGAGCGGATCGTGTGTGAACCGATCAACTCCCGTTCGTACGCGGATTGTCTAGTGTATGCACACAGTCATCCTGCCCTACGCTGCCCATTCCCCATTCGTACACCGCTTTCCTCGCCATCTGCGATGCTTGCTGAAGGTCGTTTTCCGCTCCAGTAGTCACGCGATCTTTTCTACAGTTGGACGTAAATCCAAGCAAACTACCCAAAAAAAACCTCCTCCGCTGCTCGGCCTCCCATAGCCACATCGATGCTCGCAAGCAGCTGCTTCTTGGACCGCGAATACAGTTCTTCCTCGCCCAGAACATGGGTGACATAGCCCAGAGCCTTGTGTCAATTCGGCGCGCTATTCCTACATTACCGCGAGGAATGATAGTGATTTTTCCGATCGGAAGCGTTCCGTCGGTGAGGAGAGAAACCAGAGCATGGCCGCACTCGTGGATTCTACATAAAAACGGAGAAAAAAGGAGGGAACATGGTGTTTCGAATCGCTTGCTTATCATCTCCGAGAACTTGCTTGGAGCCGATCTGAATGCGGTCCAAGGCTTCCTGGATGTGCTCGAACTTGATATCTTGCGAACCGTTCGACACGGAGATCATTGCAGCGACGTTGATCAGACTCTCCAGCTCTGCGCCAGAAAATCCAATCGTTAGGCGAGAAAGGACTTCGAGATTCACGTCTTCGGAGAGGCGCGACTACGGCAAAGAGATGCGATGCTTTCTACCTTCGATGTGATCTTCTTCAGCAGAGTTTCGCGTGCTTCGCGATCGGGTAATGACGCTATGATTCAATGCGCAAATTGAAAAATACTTTGAATCTCCACGTCAAATCGTCCGGGACGGATGAGTGCAGGATCGAGAACGTGCTTCAGATTGGTGGCCGCGATGACCAGAATGCCTTCGTCGTCGCGGAAACCTCCGATTTCGTTGAGGAGCTGATTGACGGTTTGGCGGCCGGATCCGCTGCTGTAAAAGGAACGCTTGAGACCGACGGCATCGATTTCGTCGATGAATACAATGCAGGGAGCCTAGAAGAGATGAGCAAATGGAGCGGGGTGGGAGAGAGGAGAGCATTCTGCATTAGAGAAGAGAAAGTGCGGTGTTAAGAGAATGAATAGTATTACTGTCATCACACTCAGTTAAAAAAATACCATGGTCATGAATGAGCAAACTCGAATATCATGGCTGAGCAAACTCATTTCTACATCCATACACACACACAACACTTGAAAACGCAGCAATCCAACTTAACTTGCACACACTCACACACACAACATCCCATTCACTCACACACACAACATCCCATTCACTCACACACACAACATCCCATTCACTCACACACACAACATCCCATTCACTCACACACACAACATCCCATTCACTCACACACACAACATCCCATTCACTCACTCCAACTCACTTCAAATCGATGCTCCGCCCATTTCAATTCTATCAACACCTACATGCTTCCTCGCATCTTCGAACAGTTTCCGCACTCGCCTCGCGCCCATGCCCACAAATATCTCATCAAACTCCGATCCAGAAACGAAAAAGAATGGAACTGACGCTTCGCCAGCAATCGCTCGCGCCAGCAACGTCTTTCCCGTCCCCGGAGGCCCCGTCAGCAGCACACCAGTAGGTTGTTTGATTCCCATCAGCTTGAACTCGGAGGGATCCTGGAGATACTTCACCAACAACTTGACTTCATCCAGCGATTCGCCCAATCCAATCACATCGCTAAAACGGGTCTCGATGTTTTTTTCAGGAATGTACTACATATAAACAGAACGCGGAGGATCCACGGATATGGTCGGGAATATGTCGGTCTCCTTCTTTGAGGATACTCTCTTCCAAAACCAGACAACAAGAAGGAGAGAGAATGCAAGGATCACATATTTGCTAATGTTTGGCTTCTCGAAGTAGTAATGCAGCTTCGAATACTTGGATAGAGAGTTGGCCACTTCCTCCATTTCACCCTCCGTTAGGCCACAAAATGAAATCCTTTTTTGAATGTCTTCAGATGGCAGATTAAGAAGATTAGGATCAAAATAGAGCAAGTATAAGGAACTATCAGTTACCTAAAACTCCAGTACATACAGAATATAAATGTCTCTTCCATATCTTCTACGATCCTTTATTTGCCGGAGACAGGCTTGAGACATATGATAATTCCCTTGCGAAAAACTACTCTACACTTCAAAAATACTATGAAACACATACCATCGCATAATAAAGATAAGTCTTATCATCAAACCCCTTAGGTTGAGCACCTTTACTTGGGACTTCAACTTTTTGCGCTTCTTTTCCATTCTCCGGATTTTCTAAAATTGGTTCACTCCCTAAGCTCGTTAAGAAACAGAACTAAGTACCAATTCGATCTGAATTTACTGAAGAAGCAATAAAACGTCGCACTATTTGAGGTCTGGCTGGGCCTTGAATGAAAATATAAAGAAAGTACGATATTTATCAAGAGGTGTGAAACGAGGGATTTGCTTGAAAAGTCCAGGACTCTCACGAGATAGTGTGGAGACAACGGCTCTCGGTAGAACCCGCTGACTTAATGAGAGCATAAAACTATTTTTGGCCTCAATTGGGTTCCCTTCTTTCGCCCGGTGCTATAAATAGAGTGAGACTCCTTCGTCTCCTCCACTCCTAAGCTACGATTTTCAACAAACAAGAAGAGGTAGTCTGAAGCCCAACAACTTAAAACTTAAGAAATCTTGTTGAACGAAGCGGTCTCAGTGGACTGCACGTCATTCTCGAACTGCATAATGGCATCGATGACATCATCCTCAGAGCAGACATCATCCTCAATCACGCAGGAAATCTGCAGGAAGCACAGTCCATAGGCCAGAGGCTCGATGTTGCAGGTCTCGCTCCACTTGCATCCCTTGACCTCGGTGGCGCGGATCTTCTCGAACAGAGCCTTCAGATCCGTCTCCTCGTCGTAGGGCTTGATGTTGATCACCAGCAGAGACTTCTCCACCTTCTTGTTCGCCTCCTTCGCGGCCTTCTTCTTCTCAGCCTCAGCGCGCAGCTTCGCCTCCATGGCAGCAGCGGCCTCCTCGTCCTCCTCGTCGTCGTCATCTCCGAACAGATCCTCTTCCTCCTCTTCCTCTTCCTCCTCTTCCTTCTTCTCAGCAGCAGGGGCAGCAGCAGGGGCAGCAGCAGCCTCAGCACAGTCACAAATGATCACGTAGCTGACCACATAGGTGAAGTGGCAGAACTCCCAAATACGCATAACCTTCACCTTCTTTCCATCAACAACGGCAAAACCGTTCTCAATAGCTCCCTCGCAGGTTTCCTCAAAGGTGGAGTCAGTAATGGTCATCTTGGAGTACTTCTCGCACTCGCAGCACTAGACTCTTATCCAAAGGTTGGAACACCTACGCAAACCGGCTTTCCGTTAATAACAAACTTGGTGCAGCAGCCATACTTGACAGTAGCAGCCAGTTCCTTGATCTTCTCCTAACAAATTAGAACTACATAGGACAGTCAAATACAATGTAAGAAGGAATAGGCTTAGTAGCCAGGCAACGAGTAGAATAGACGGGGGTCTTGCAAATACAGAAACGCTCCATTTCGCTATATATATAAAGCAATCCGAACAAGAATACGAATGAACCAATATTATGTGATCAAATGAATTTCTGGTGGTGAGGTGTATGTCGGACATTATCATTGAAACTCTCTCTCATGGGACGACATGCGCCTCGCAGATTTGTATGAAACAGCATATCGAAATCGATTGATACGTCTGATTCATGGAAACTGTTTGAGTTGTCTCATTCGAATGTTGAATCGATGTTTTGCTTGAGGTTGATCACATATAACCAAGAGATTCGTACAGCATTTAAAAATGGTTTTGGTTGTAATATGTGGAAGCAATTTCTTATAGTTATGTATATAATTATCTCTCATATCAACTGCGTGAAATCGAAAAGGAGAAAACGATTTCTCAGCACTTCTAAAGTTTCAATAGCTATTTTTATCATGAAGGTTCACGATTAGTTTGTTATGTCACTTCTCCTCAAACTTGCTTCCCATATATGAATATGAAAGTCCAATCCTTACCATAGACTGATTCTTTTTAACTGCATCAATGCTATATTCGCTTCAATTTCTAGTAAACAAGGAAATAGGATTTTGCTCCGCAATAACGATTCTACATAGTTTCTATTTTCTTAGAAAAAAGAAAAATCAGCAAAAAGATCAAGTTAAATTCAGTTTGGTTGTTCATCCTGTTACATTTTATTTTAATGCCTCCAAGTCAAAGAGTTTTATTTGAACAGTTTTACAAAAAGGCAGTAGCTCTAGGTGCTAAGAAGGTAGATTTCGTACGTACTTCTCAACATAGGGAAAGAAGTTAGGGAAGGATATTTATAATTTGCTTTGCCAGCAAACTCTTATGATATGCTCATATCAAGAGGGTATAGGCTATCTTGTCTTGTTTCACTCTTTTTAGTAATGCATAAAGAATATGGTCATTCTGCCTTTTTTGGAATATATATCCGTGTTCCCTATAACGGAAAGGACTATATTATTCCTGGATCGCTCCTCGTTTCACTTCATTACTTTTTAGACAAGAGACCTTTGTTAATGTTGGTCAAGAAGAATGAAAGTAGGATTACTACATAGATTTTAATCTCAGATCTTCAAAAATTGAACCATTCTATGGTCGGGGAAGATGGAATGGTAAATACGGATTATTTCCAAAACTGGACACCTGTATTTATTTTGTGGCTATTTCATATAGGATTCTTCTTTTGTTGAGGCCATGCGTGATCTTGTGGATAAGCTCCAGGGCAATCCTTACGAATACCCAGCCGAGGAAGAAGTTTCAACATCGGATGCTCCAGAAGTGGTTCAGGAGCCTCCCGTGGTGTAGGTTTGGTAATTTATTAACCTTATGATTTAGGAGCTCAAGTTCCCATAAACTTTGAGTTCGTGATGTGTAGAGTTCAATCCCAATCTTAAATGGGAAGATATCCGTCTCACAAGCACCTTGCTTGGCCAAGGATCCTACGCCGCTGTGTACAAGGGGTGAGCGGAATGGCTTTGGCCTCATGGGTAGCATCTATAATAACGAAGAAGTCGCTGTGAAGGTGTGGAAGCAGCAGTTGTCGCAGAGCGACAAGGTCTACTTTGATCGCGAGGTGGACATCCAGAAGAGACTGGACCATCCCAACTGTCTGAAGCTCTATGGAGTGACGACAAGTCCCCAGGGCTATCCTGTGCTCATCACCGAGCTCGCAGACTGCTCGCTGACGAAGCTCACAACGCAGCGATCGCCGCAATTGCCTCCCCTGAGTGCGCAAGAGAAGTACAACTTCATTCTGGAGATCGCGAGGGGAATCGCGTACATCCATTCCTGCGGCTTTGTGCATCGCGATATAAAAGTACGGTGCAGACGGGAGGATTGAAAACTAGCTGGATAACATCCTGATCAAAAACGGACATGTCAAGATCGCTGATTTTGGGCTGGCTCGTTCGATGCAGCCGGTCTCGCTTATTGTGACGTTCGCTGGTTCGCCGATGTTGTAGGGATTTGGAGAAGACTCGAGACTAGCATGGCACCCGAGCTGATTATGGGGCAAAAAGTGACACAAACAATCGATATCTACTCTCTGGGATGTGTGATCGACGAGATCATGACTGGAAAGACTTGCTTTTGGGATTATTGCATGAAGGGAGTCACGCAGGAACGAGTTCGCGTCCTACGCTCGCTTTATACGTAGTTCTTTAGAGATATTCGCCACGGACTGAGACCTACTATCGATCGAAGTCTTCCAAAAGGTAGGCGAACGCATGCGATAGCCATTTGTAGAAGTCCGCTATTTGATTGGAGACTGTTTCAAGGAAAAGAAGTATCGTCCCAATGCGGAGACAGTTTGCCATTGGATTGAGAATTGGGAATACCAGAAATGGGAGCCCAAACAGAATAAATGTGCGTAGATCATGTGATGGTTGTGTGTTTGTTCATGGAAACAATGGTTGTTTGACGATATTACATGATGAGGGAGAAAAGGTTGTGGAGATGTTTCTAGTTTTAGGATAAAAGGACTTTTTTTTATATTTCTAAGGTAGAGGAAGATAATTGGGATATTGGATTCGGATAAAAGGGTATTTGAAAAAAGGAAAAATGAAGGATTCGTTTGGACAATACATTTGAAATAAAGGCTTACAGATTGCAGTATTTGAAGAGATTTGTATAGTGCTCGTGATTCAGTTCGGATTGCGACTTCGTGAGGATAGACCTTTCATTCATTGAGTGTGTTCTTTGATCCTGTACACTTCGCTGAGTCGACAGATTCCTTTGCGAAACCAGGTTTTCCACTCACATCAAAGCCACAATCTGAAAATCACCCAATCCACTCCAAAGAATACTCGATAAACGATAACTATATCGACTTTTTTCAAGAAGCTCAACAAAGGATACCGAAAGAAATCGAGACAGCGGAATATCTATATATTACAAAGCCATCAAACCTATACTCTCTAAAACCAGTCTTTGCAAGGGACAGTCTTTTCTCGATAAATAGTTCTGGAGCGCTATCGCATCGTCTTGGTCGATGATTGCATCCGATACACGCAGATATAAAAGATCAAGCTTCTGCTTCGCCAGTATCTCACTTAAGAAGGTCGAATAATTGTCATAGCAGAGAGTTAGCGAGGTCAGACAAGGAAGATTCGCTCTCGTGATTTGCTGAGCACATTCGATTTGTTGGCTGCATTTAAACTGATTCCCTTCCAAAATTAAATGCTTCACTTCCTTGCAACTCTCTTTCAACTTTTTCAACAATAAATCACATCCATGTGCTCCTCGTTTTATCCCTAATCCTCACATCACAAGAAATATAGTAACATCGGAAGGATTCCACATCCGGTTCCACTTGATCATCTCGAATCATCATTGCGGAACTCATTTCACCATTGATCGCAGAATAAACACTGCTAAAATCCTTCATGTTCACTGCGTTCTTCGATTCCTTGCCCGCTATTTCGTTGAAAAACGATTCCAACATTTCGGTTTTCGTGAAGTCGGTCTCACATTGTGTGGAAGAAGAATAAGGACGAGGAGAAGAAGAAGAAGATGATGATGATGATGATGATGATAATCGCTTTCCATTCAAACTTGTGTGGATATGGCGATTTAAAGTAGCTGCCTTCTCGATCACTTCACGATATTGAGCAACATGAGTTTCATTTACTAAATGAACAACTCAATCCTCTTGTTCCTACGTTCAAATTCGATTTCAATATCATCAACATAACTCTGGTTATGGACAAGAATTTCGAGGTTTTGGTAATCGCTCATGAATAGCTCAACTAATCAATCAACAGCAATCCGAACAAGTAACAAGGAATGGAAATCTCACTGAAACTAAATACATAATCTTGAGAATGAAGAAGGTCTTCCGAAATCACTCCTTGAAAATCAGAAATCGAGTCTATTAATCATCCATTGAAAGGTTACTTTGTACCAGAGATCACAATCTTCTTGATGAGTTGTTGGGTAATATTAATATCATCCATATTTAACGAGTTATTACTACTCAGTAGAGCCAGGAAATCGAGCAAAGCTTGGGATGAAGTGATTTCATCTATCATTCAAAACAAAAAGAATGCAAGCACAAGTCATCTGCACAGAGTGAACGTCCCACAACAAACAGCGATCACTTTCTGATGAATCGCTCGACGGAGAATCTGTAAGGCAAATTGTCTTGTCAGCAAATCGCAATTCCACGCGTTTTAGTACGAACGAATAGGGCATCGCCAGCAAGGAAAGCATGTAGTCGATTTCAGACATCGATGGATCAATGCATTCTATGGCAGGAAGAATGAAAAGCCTGCTGAAATCGAAAAAAATCGGTTGAATTGCGGTCCGCCCCTCCCTCTTTACCCACTCATCAAACGAAGGAACAGATCGGAGAAACGAAACATCAACTTCCTCTGTGTAGTCGTATTCTTCCTCTCCCTTCAAATCAAACGATGGGTAATATGCTTACAAATAAAGCATTGGCTAACGAAAACACTGGAGAATGGATGGCGATTTGAGCAGAAGTGTGGGTATGCGTGATTACATTCGAGAGCAACACGGAATGCATCGGGATTTTGGTAAACGAACTGTCTTTCCCAAGCCATCTAAAAAGCATTGACGAATCATGTTCTGTGTAGCTTAACGGCTCTCGTGCGAAATGGGAAGTGGCGAGTGTAGCATCCTTAAAGCGGTCCTGTAAAGTGGATGCAAAAGGAATCTCGACGATCGAATCCGAGACAAGGAAATGAAGTTTGATTTCAAACTCGTTTGCCTCCACATTCCGTATTCTCAAGTTTTCCTTTGATACTTCATACAGACTCTATTGCTCACTAAACTCGATCGCTTCATTACGGAAACGGCTTCCAAAATACACTCTTCTAAACCACTACCCTCCAGTGAATCATCCACAGTCATCTGGTCCGTGAACGACCCTCCGAAGTGAAGATTCACCCATTTCTTTCCAGGACTACAGCATGCATACACAGGGAGATCGTTTTTCACTCCAATATAGTCCACGATTTCGAGTTCTACTTCTGCATGTAGCAAATGATGGAAAAGTGGATAAAAACATATTTGATATCTATCCTGAAGATGAATTCCGTGATAAGATAACAGAATGGACTGCTTATGACCAAATCGAATACCATTCCTTGCAAGACTCTATACTGACAGGAAATGGACTGACAATTACAAATGAGAAATCCTGACAAAACAAAGATACTAAGCAACGCTCTGAATGGCGAAATTCCACTCGTTTGCTATTGATTGAACAACACAGTTCTACTAGTTCGTTGTCGACACAAAAATCGAGTAAGGAGCCTTGCTGGATCCCTAATTCGCTTAAGGATTTGTTTTCATTCCTTATATTTCTCTCATCAAAATATATACACTGCAGATATGTGGGGATGTAATAAACTGCCTACTATTTCAACTTGCAGTTTAATGCTACACGAATTGTCTCCTTTAAGCGACTAACAGATGAATCCAGGCAAATATCGACAGGATATTGACCGTCATCCGTGTTTAGATAGATCCGAACTGCCATAGGATGAAAAAAATGAAGTATTGCTCATTATTTTCTCTATTTATTCTAGTATGTTTACAAGTCACGAAATAGCTTCTCAAAAAATAGTATTTAAATCGGTAGAGATGACAGAGACGCTCCAAAACGAGGTTCTTGAACTAGCGAAAACCGTACTTTTTCTATTCATTATTTTCAAGGATAGGCGATGTCTTTGTATTCCGTTGAGAAAGATATCGCAAAACACATCAAATGTCAGCTCGACTCCCTGAAAGGAGGAGTATGGCATGTTGTTGTTGGAAAAGAATTTGGATCCTATATTACCCATGACCGAAATTGTTTCATTCACTTTTCGATCGGCGACTATTCTTTTCTTGTATTCCGTATTGGCTAATCTGTTTATTACCATCGTTTCATATGTTTTTTTTACACACAAACAAGCCTTTGCTTCCCAAGAACCTATATACTGACTTATTCGATAGCAGGGGGTTGAGGAGTAGGCAAGAGTTCATTCACCACAGGACGGATAGCAAATCCAGCAATACCAGCAATATTCGCATCAGACGTCGTCTCGCGGATGGGGAGACGATACACAAACGAGTCACAAGCACGCAGTCTCGACTCAACAGCAAAATAGGGCCACTCAGCAAACTCAGGGGCTCCTTCCACAGCATACTGCAAATACTCCACAACCACACCATACACAGAAGGTCTCCAGTAAGCATTGGTGAAGTACGGGCCTTCAGCACGATCATTGCGGTAGTACTGGAAATACTCAGGGTCCAGACCCATCGACACCGCCGTGGGACCCTTCATCACCAGCTCAAACAGTCCCAGCTTGTTGTACACATGAGGCTTCTCATAACCGGCAATATGGTACTTCTGCTCGTCCGGTACAAACTGGCACTGATTCTCAGTACCAGTCTGAGGATAGTACTGACGGAAGGCGATTCCGTTCTCGAACGCATAATCGAATCCCCACGCAATAGGCAGACCATCGCACACCTTGCCCTCCATATCGTGCTCCTTGCCCACGCAATCAATCAGCTCCTGCGCAGAGAGCGCCACTTCCACCAGCTGATCGTAGGTGTCCAGATACAGCTTCTTGATCGCGTACTCGATCGAGTTGGTCACGGCAAAAGCCCAAGAAACGGAGCAATTCTGAGGCTTGCAGACCAGTTCACGGAGATGATTTTCTCTGCCCTCGAAAACATCGTCACAAGGATCCGAAGAGGGCATCAGATATCGCCAATTCGAGTTGTTATACACGGGGACCGTGAACGGAACATGGGCTTTCACTCCCGTGTAGCGCTGCTTCGTGGTCGTCAGCTCTTCGAACTCCATTGGATCCCAATCCGCATAGAAAGTAAACTCGAAATCATAACGACCGCGGAGATTCCAGTCGTGAATCTTCTCGCACGAATCGATGAAGTACTCCAAACGGGTCTGGAACTCGGTCGTTGTCACATCGCGCGATGTGCACTTCATGGTTTCTGGCCATGCGTTGAGATAACGCAAATAGCCACTCTGATCGCAAGTATAATCCGATTTGTGATCCGTAGGATCAGCAGGATAAGCGGGTTTACCGCTAAGAGGCTTGCTCTTATCGAAGTCGGGACGAGTGTGAGCTTCCGGCACAGTGGTGTAAGGACTCTCTGTATCCGAAATAGCCAGTACTACAGAAAGAGCCGGCACCTGCAAGGAGAAGTCTTTATCAAACGAGTCATAGTTGACGTTGACCACCGCAGTATCTTCACAACCCACATAGTAATAACCAGGGTTCAAACAATACTTCTTCTTTGTTTCCAGACCATTAATCAGTAACAATCCGTTCGATTTACCCGTGATATCCGAGACACGAATTTGGCAGGCGGAGCTACCCGACACTGAAGAGAAGGTAACCTCGACGAATCCACTGGTGCAAACAAGTGGAGCGGTGGGAACTATCGTAGTGGGAGAAATTGTAGGAATGGAAGTTGGAGGTAATGTTGTTGGAGGAAGAGTTGTAGGAGGCAATGTAGTGGGAGGCAACGTAGTGGGAGGAAGAGTCGTAGGCAATAGAGTGGGGACAGCTGGATGCTCGTCAAGAGTTGTGTAGTACTCAGCCGGGAACATCGTAGGATCCATAATCTTTAACTGGGCATCGACCTGAGCAGTAGAACTCACCAAGGCAACAAGAAGCTGCGGCTCCTCTTCGGGAGTGGCTTCGATCTGACCATAGGCCGTGAGAGTATCCAAGAGTCTTCGATATGCTTCCTTTTTCTCCCAAAGCTGAATGTACTGCGCACTAATACTCAATACATTCGCGTACGCCTGGCGCACTGCACTCAGAACGTCATCCGTCCAGTAATTGTTCACGTTATGACAAGTAATCAAGAATGGAATATAGATCTTGCCTTCAGGAGGAATCTGCGGGATGCAATCTTCGGAATTCTTCACCCACACTCCATAGCCCTCAGGAGCCGAACAAGTCCACTTAACCTGACCAATGAAACCTGCTCCACAAGAAACATAGAGGATCGTTCCAACTACACTTTCAGGAACATCACTGTTAGCAGGACACGTAATAGGTGCTGGTGTAGTAGGAGGCTCGGTGGTAGGAATCTCAGTGGTAGGAATCTCAGTGGTAGGAGGTTCGGTGGTTGGTGGAAGAGTTGTAGGAGGCAGAGTGGTAGGTGGTAGAGTTGTAGGAGGCAGAGTTGTAGGAGGCAGAGTGGTAGGTGGCAAAGTTGTAGGAGGCAGAGTGGTAGGTGGAAGGGTGGTAGGTAACTCAGTAGTAGGCGGCAAAGTGGTTGGTGGAAGAACAGTAGGTGGCAGAGTAGTAGGAAGTTCAGTGGTAGGACCTTCAGTGGTAGGAGCCTCAGTAGTAGGACAGTCAGCGGTGGGAGGCAAAGTAGTGGTAGGCAAAGTAGTGGGAGCTTCAGTGGTAGGAACCTCAGTAGTGGGAAGTTCGGTGGTAGGAACCTCAGTAGTAGGAGCCTCAGTAGTAGGAACCTCAGCAGTGGGAACTACGGTGGTAGGAACCTCAGTGGTAGGCAAAGTAGTGGTAGGCAAAGTAGTGGTAGGCAAAGTAGTGGGAAGTTCGGTGGTAGGAATCTCAGTAGTAGGAACCTCAGTAGTAGGAACCTCAGTGGTAGGAGCTTCAGTAGTAGGAACCTCAGTAGTAGGAGGCAAAGTAGGAGCTTCAGTGGTAGGAACCTCAGTAGTAGGAGGCAAAGTAGGAGCTTCAGTAGTAGGAACCTCAGTAGTAGGAACCTCAGTAGTAGGAACCTCAGCAGTGGGAGGCAAAGTAGTGGGAGCTTCAGTGGTAGGAACCTCAGTAGTAGGAGGCAAAGTGGGAGCTTCAGTGGTAGGAACCTCAGTAGTAGGAGGCAAAGTAGGAGCTTCAGTAGTAGGAACCTCAGTAGTAGGAACCTCAGTAGTAGGAACCTCAGTAGTAGGAACCTCAGTAGTAGGAACCTCAGTAGTAGGAACCTCAGCAGTGGGAGGCAAAGTAGTGGGAGGCAAAGTAGTGGGAGCTTCAGTGGTAGGAACCTCAGCAGTGGGAGGCAAAGTAGTGGGAGCTTCAGTGGTAGGAACCTCAGTAGTAGGAACCTCAGTAGTAGGAATTACGGTGGTAGGAGGCAGAGTGGTAGGTATCTCAGCGGTGGGAGGCAAAGTAGTTGGTGGAAGAACAGTAGGTGGCAGAGTAGTAGGAAGTTCAGTGGTAGGAGCCTCAGTGGTAGGAACCTCAGTAGTAGGAATTACGGTTGTTGGAGGCAAAGTTGTAGGAGGAATGGTAGTAGGAGGTGCAATATAACTCAAAGTGAGTTCGGCAACTTCAATTCCCTCGCTTTCCGACTTTGAGAAATACACTCGATACATCGCATATCGCTGATAATTGTCAAAATCCCATTCATGAACCTGACCATAACCGTCCTGATACTGCCAAGAGAGAGTATGCGAGTCAAGAGAGTTCCAAAGAGATCCATCATTAGAAGCTGTAATTGTCACGTTTTCAGGACGACGTCTTCGAGTATTACCAGCATAGAATTGAACGTGGTTAATTATCTCACCATCTGGATTGAACGGTGTCCACTGAAGCCAGAAAGATGATTCTCCACTCGCAACTGATGAATCCAATAGAGTCAACTTTGTGTTCGAGTTTTTGTCCACGGCAAGGTAATAACGTTCATCATAGGAAGAGTCATAAAAACCAACATGAGATGCAATAACGGTTCCTCCAATAGCAGGAACAGGAACATCAGCCACCAAAGCATTACTCAAAGTAACTTCCGCAATTTCAATATCATTCGATCCTGATTCTAGGCATCGAATACGATAAATGTTATACGCCTCAGTATTCTCAAAAGACCAGTCTTCATGATAATTCCAGCCATTACTGCTAGACCAAGAAAACGTTTTGGTACTCAGCACAGTCCAAATGTTGTCTCCATTCGATGCAAGAACCGTGATGTTATGAGGACGACGATTACCTTCATTTCCAGCATAGAAAGAAATGTAGTTAAACACATAGCGCTTTTCATTATTCGCCTGCATTTGAACCCACACACCCTCGCTCTCCGGTCCATTATCCGTACCCATAGCCGTAAATTTGGTTTGCTTATTCCCATCGAACGCCTTCGTATAGCGCTCATCATATTCACCAGAATAATACCCTTCATGTGAAGCAGTAAAGCTACCACGCAGAGTAGACCAATTTGGAATATATGTCCAACTCAGACCCAACTCTCTCACTTCCACACCTTGGGATGATGGACGTCCCATGTAGATTCTGTATATCGGGTAAGCTTCATCATTTTCGAAGGAAAAGTAGTTATCGCTAGCAGACAAACTCACAGATGAAGATTCCCATAATACATCCCATATGTCATTTCCATGACTAGCCTGTACAGACAAATATCGTGGGCGGCGATTGTCTTCACTTCCAGTATAAAAGCGCAAACGATTGTAGACAACAGGCACATTACCTATGGATGCCCACTGTACCCAAACGTTCACTGTTCCCGCAGCAACATCAGCATCTTCAACGTAATACTTGTTGGAAGTTGACCCATCCATGGCGTATATAAATCTTTCATCATAGTTGGAAGAATGCAATCCAATATGAGAAGCTGTTACAACACCACCGTTATAAATGGTTGATTCTTCATCATTTAATACGGTAGCTGACAGCCTATCATCTCGTAAGTGCCGACTCACTTTATTTGTACTCTCTCCACAATTACCCAAAACGCACTGGGCAGATACTGTAACTACAATTAAAAATTAAATACTTTATAATTACTCAATAATACTAATAAAATACACGTGCTGACCCTCATTAATAGACTATTCTATTTTCATCATCATTACCAAGATTCACAAATTAACCGCGAATGTGTCTAACTAACCATTAATATAATGGGAGATTAGTATTAAAACAATACTAATCAATTTATGCTACATAATGAATTACATGTCGAATTTACTGGGTAACCAACCCTTACAAGCCATTACTTCAATTCCATCAAGGTACTTTATGGATTTGGATATTATAATTGATCACAAATTACGGATTAAGCATACGGAATACTTGAGAGTCGAACTCTATATTTGTTATTGTTATTACTACAATAACCTAGTTTTAATGGAATTCCAATATTATGGGGTAAATTTTGCTTTAGAAATCATTTGAATACTCCGCTAACTCATTCATAATCAACCAGTAAATCATGGCAGCAGTTGATGGATGGGTCAATGACGTCGAAGATGTGCTTTCCAAAGCCGAAAGTGCCTATCGGCAAATCACACAGGATACATCGCTCGACGACAAGAGAACGCTGTTGGTCGAGTCAAGAAAACTTGTATTTGCATTGTTTTGCGCTGAGTTGTAGATGAACGAAGCAAAAGATAATTTGGATGCTTTGGCTGTACAAATCAAGAAGCTTCCGCGAGAGTCTCAATTTAATTATCTAAATGTGCAAATACAGCGTTTGTATGATTGCTAGAAAAAGACTGCATTTTCTGAGCGAATCAAAGTGCTGCAGTCGGACCTGAAATTCCAATTCCAATCGATGGAACGCAAGGATCTATTTGGCGAAGGGAAGACCGATGGTGTCGAAGGAGGAGATATGCTGATTCAGCATGCATTGCAGGTACGCAATACTGTATAATGACAAGGAATAGACCCAAGGAAAGACGATTGATGCAGCTAAGAACACGCTCCTATTGCTCCACGAAACAAAGCAAGTGGCGTTGGAGACAACAGAAACTTTAGCGAACCAAACTGACCAGATTGGAGGAATGAAGGGGAATGTGCAGGATATTGATAATCAACTAAAACGATCGGAGCAGGTTTGCATCGTTCTGCACTCTACTAATATGTTTAGCTGATTCGCACCTATCTGGTTCGAATGATGACGGACAAGATTATCATGGGCCTCGTTTTTATTCTCGTTGTGCTGATCGTCGTCGCCATCGTCTTCTATTCGCTTTTTGGAAAGAAAAATGAAACAACCAGTGAGAAACAGGAAGGGTTTCATGAGTTGTAGCAGCCCCGACAGCGCCTCCGATCGTTCCATCGTTCGTCAAGATCGCTTTGAAGAAAACAGGACAGTCAGCATTGATGTATCTTAGAGAATAGTGGTTTTTCTGTGTTTGTTTCAGAATTGGGGCCTTTTGAGTGGATTGGTCCCAAATAGTGGGAAGATGTTCTTCTTATTCATTTTGGTTTGTTTTCGAAAGGGTATTAGCTAGAATGCTCCGTTTGAAGGAAGGAATTTTGGGAAACAAGGACCAGAAGCCCGCAAGAAGGGCTTACGTGAGTAAACCCGCTCCGGCCACCGAGAATAAGCAAACTGCTCAGCCCCAGATTTTGGGAAGATTAAAGATGGGTCACCGTGTGATTCAGTTGAAAAAGAAGTTGGGACAGGGAGGTTACGCTATTGTGTACCAGGCGATGGACGAGGACACGTACAAGGAGTACGTGCTCAAGAGAATGGATTGCAAGGTAAGAGGAGCGTGTTTGGTGTGATGGTAGACCCCCGAGATGGAGAAGCTGTTGGATAAGGAGTTCAAGGTGCTGCGTATTGTGCGCGACCACCCGAACATTGCGAAAATCTACGCTCTGCAGAAGCGCAAGGCTCCCGGCGGCTGGGAGGCTCGTGAGCTGATGGAGCTGTGTCCGATCGGTCTGTTCGACTACCTGAAGGTGCTGGAGAAGGACAAGAAGTACCTTCCCGAGCAGGACATTTGGGAGATGATGTACGATCTGGTGAACGCGATCGGCTTCATGCACAAGCAGAACCCTCCTCTGGTGCACCGCGATCTGAAGCTGGAGAACGTGATGCAGGGGAAGGACGGTCGTTGGAAGCTGATCGATTTCGGGTCGGTGGTGTTCGGCACGGTGAAGCTGGCGACGAAGGACGACGTGGACCGCGAGGAAGAGCAGATCGAGAAGTACACGACGCAGATGTACCGCGCGCCCGAGATGGTGGACTTCTTCGGAGTGAGCGAGATCACGCCGAAGACGGACATCTGGGCGCTGGGCTGCATTCTGTACACGCTGATGTTCCTCAAGCAGCCGTTCCTCAACGCGAGCAAGCTGGCCATTCTGGGCGCCAAGTACACGATCCCGCCGCGCCATCGCTACTCCGCCGAGCTGGTGGATCTGCTGAAGCGAATGCTGACGCCGGAGCCGGAGAAGCGCGCGTCGGCGGTGGAGCTGTTCAAAATAATCAAGGCGAAGGTGGGGAAGCGCGTGCCGCGGCGCGTGCAGATGGTGGCGAGCAACTTCCACGACGACGCGGTGTCGGAGGAGGAGGAAGAGTCGGAGTCGGAGTTCGACGATGAAGTGATCACGGAGGTGGGAGTAGGGAGAGAAGGAAGCACGGGTGAGGCGTAGAGACCGAAGCGGAGAGGCGTGATGGGCAATCGGTCGCAGCCCGATCGGATGCGATTCCGCGAGAGCAGCGATGACGATGATTACAGGCCGAGAAAGAAGAAGGCGTCGCGCTATGACGATGACGACGACGACGATTACAGACCGAGAAAGAAGAAGGCTTCACGCTATGATGACGAGGACGACGAGGATGATTACAAGCCCAGAAAGAAGAAGGCGTCGCGCTATGATGACGACGAGGACGAGGAGGAAGAGGAGCGTCCGCGTCCCAAGAAGAAGCCCGCGAAGAAGGCGTCGCGCTATGACGACGACGAGGAAGAGGAAGAGGAAGAAGAGCGACCCAAGAAGAAGAAGCCCGTGAAGAAGGCGGCTCGCAAGGTGGTGGAAGAAGAGGAGGAAGAGGAAGAAGAGCGTCCGAAGAAGAAGGCGGCGAAGAAGCCCGCCAAGAAGCCCGTGCAGGAAGAAGAAGAAGAAGAAGACTTCGGAGAAGAGGCCGAGGAACTCCAGGCCGGAACCCCCATCGAGGAGGACTTCCTCAGCTGGTAAACCTAGCCCTGCCGCTGCTGCTGCTGCCACTGCCACTGCGCTGGTTTGGAATGGAGATACCGCGAGTGTTCGTATTTACTTGTACACATTTTGTTTTTTTGAAAATGAATCTTCCGCCTCCTGCGCTACCACCCTCAGATATCGCTCTTAGGGAAGGAATTCTCTCGGTGTGTGAGAATATCGCTAGGGGAGGCGATGATGTTGAGAATGCTTATCGTGAGCAAGTTTATTCTATTTCTTAGAGTATGAAATGGTAGGAATTGCCCAATGCATTGTCAAGTTTTGCATATTTGGGTAGAGGGTGTGATTACTTTTGTTTTCACCTTGCTTGCTTGAAAAATCATCTATCCAAAGATGAAGAAATACAAATGGTAAGGATTTACTGTCCTTTTCACAATAGACGCGCAGTTTTACATTTTTGCCCATAGTAACATTCAGACATAGATTCCGAGTTGTCAAGAGAGGATTTGGAAAGAATATCTCGTTACTTGGAGCAATTAAAAGGTGTGTGTTATTTGGATGTATAATAAAAGGTTCTGCAAGGAGTATCTCCGAAACCCGGAAGTGCTTGCTGCCTCTATTTCCCCAAAAAGGATACTCCATTTGTCGTTTGTTATATCAGAAGTTCTGCTCGCTCACAACCTTTTCAGAGAAGATCGTCGTTCTCTATTTAGTCAACGATCTCGTTGCCGCCGGCCACAGAACCTATCCGGGTACCATGCTCTTCATTGACCTCTCCTACCCATCTAGGCCTTTCTGACTGCATCAAAAGCTACATCGACCTAATGCTTTACGGGATTGTCCGTTCTCCTTCTTTCCTTCCCGAGAAGCTCCATCAGCTCGTGGATCTCTGGGACGTTCACCGCCTGTAGGGTTCGAGCCCCGCTTTTCTCTAGTTTTTCTCCCTCCACCATCCAGCGATTCCGTGAAATCATCGCTGGAAACACTGTTTCCTCGCCTCCTGCACCCCCTCAGCCACCTCGACCCACATCATTAGCACATGATCCCCGATGGCCAGCCGGTGGTTTGCTGAGCGAACTCTACGAAGAGCACCGCAATCTAGGCGTCAAACCGTACACTCCGGTGGAGCGCGCAGAGCTGCGAGTCCGGAAGCCGAAGGGCGGGACCGGGCGTTTCGACGAAGATTTGATTGACCTGATGGCGAAGTACGAAGCGGGCGAATTGTTTGCAGCGGTCGACGAGAAGCCGCGCGAGTACGGAGAGGAGGACGTGGGCGAGGGAGAGCTTATCTTCCCCGCGGAGAATGCGAGGAATTCGATGGAACGGCGGTCGAGAAGTCGATCGAATTCGATGGAACGGCGAAGGAAACGGTCGAGATCGAGCGGAGAACGTTCGGATTCCTATGAGAAACGACCCAACTCGCGGAGCAGAAGCAGAAGCCAAAGTCGAAGCAGAAGTCGAAGCAGAAGTCGGAGCCAAAGTCGAAGTCGAAGTCGGAACCATTCTTATTCATATCAAAGCTACTCACATTCACATTCACCATCTCGAAGTCGAAGTCGAAGTCGAAGTCGAAGTCGAAGCAGAAATCGAAGCTATTCGAGATCTTCACCACGGTCGAGGAGTTTTTCTCGACACGGGTCAAGAGATGCGCGATTTTCTAGAGATGCATACAATAAACATCCGTCTCATCCAACGCACGGCTCTGAGTCGTTTAGAGATTCGCACGATTCACGTTTCTCTCCTCGCCGAGGTAGTTTGGATCGAAGAAGCATGTTTATTATTATCTCTTTTATTGTAGGTTACTCCCACTATTAGAGAAGGCTTTCCTGCGTTTCTTTTCTTTCTTTCATTCATATTTATCATTCTGACTTGTTTGTATTCCAACACGCTATTTCTGCACAATAACCGTTTTGAACGTTAAGTCACTTTTGGCAAATAATAGAAAAATGACCAAACTTTCTAGCCTAATTTTGCTAGTATTTCTTGAGAAGTAGAATAACGTACTAGTCTTTTGTTTTTGCTGTGGTTCTATCTAATGGGCTGGGTGGATATTTTGGAGAGTATATTCGATGGAGAAGCTACGAAGAAGGAATGAAGGAGATCAAAGAATCAAAGAGACCAGGAGTTGTGTTAATTCACCGTGAGTGGTGTGAATCATGCCGTACAATTGGGAGATATTGCAGGGATGATATTCCTTTGATTAAAATGTCAAAGAAATTCGTGATGATTAGCTGCCCGAATGGAGAGGAGCCTCAGGATGATACATTTAAGATGGGTAATTGCTCTGTACTTGTTCTAATTCATAGATGGTTCGTATTTCCCCCGTCTTTACTTTATCAACCCTGATGGATCTGTGAACTATGATATTGTGTCGAATCCTAATATTGAGCGATATCAGTTCTATTATTCTGGTCCTGAGGATATTATTGATGCGATGAAGCGAATGATCAAGGATTTGAAGTTGAAAAAGCAGCGAAGACTAGCTCGTCAGGCAGCAAAGGAGGAGTTGAAGGATGTGGATGATTCTCAGTTCCAGGCTGAGGATTTGTAGTTTGTTTGGTCGTGTTGTTTGTTGTAATGAGCTGAATTGCAAAAGTGTGTGCGAGCTTTCTAAAGATGGATTGCTTTATCGTTCTTATCAATGGGTTGAGGGAATGAATCGTGTACTCCTAGCACATACAACCACTAGATGAAGATTGGGATCATTGTTCTAAGAAACAGAGCAAATTATCATAGAAACGAACCAAAATTAAACGAACTAGACAAACATTTACTTGCTCTCCTTCTTGGATTTCTTTTCTTTCTTTTCCTTCTTCGCCTTCTTTTCCTTCTTTTCCTTTTTGGACTTCTTCTCCTCCTTAGGCTTCTCCTCCTTGGGCTTTTCCTCTTCCTTGGGCTTCTCCTCTTCCTTAGGCTCCTCCTCCACCTTCATCTTTTCCTCTTCCTTGGGCTTCTCCTCCTCCTTAGCCTCTTCCTTGGCCTCTTCCTTAGCCTCCTCTTCCTTGGGCTCCTCCTCCGCCTTGGCTTCTTCCGCCTTGGCTTCTTCCGCCTTGGGCTCTTCCGCCTTGGGCTCTTCCGCCTTGGCTCCCTCTTCCTTGGCCTTCTCCGCCATCTGCGACTTCGGTAAGAACTGTCGCACCGCGATCGCACGGCCCTCCAGCTCGGTTCCGTTCATTTCCTCGATCGCCTTCTTCATCGCCTCCTCCGTAGCGAAGCGGACGATTCCACGGCCACGGCTCTTTCCGCTCTGACGATCCTTCAGCACGGTGCACTCTTCCAAGTTACCATACTTGCTGAACGCCTGGCGGAGAGAATCATCGTTCACGCTCCAAGCCAAACCTTTCCATTAAACCATGATCCGAATCGTACTGGTGATGATAATCTTGTTCGTGTCGATGAATTCCTTGGGAGCAGCCTGCTCATGCTGAGGACGATCCTTATTCTCCTTCTGATCACGCTTAGGGCGCTCCGTGGCCTTCTCCACCTTAATGGTGCGACCATCGAACTCCTGACCATCAACCACAAACCACGATCATACAGCTCCGTTTTTCTCAAGAGCATTGTTGAAAGCAGCCTCAGAGGCGAACGTAACAAAACCAAAACCACGCGATTTCTTGTTTTCTCTGTTCACCATCACCTGAATAATAACTACCCAGCCAAACACCTACACGGCTATCAGTGATCTCACCGCACTCCTGAAAATAGTCATAAAGAGCACTATCATCACAACTGAAGGGCAGACCTAGAGGTTACATAGCACAACAGCTTGTTACCCAGGACAATAACCTTATTTTCGCTCATGTCTACAATAATTTGTGAAAAAGGATTATTAGAGGAAGGAACCATAAAATCCGCCCCGGTAATTGATTGGATGCCCTATTTCTCTAGACCAATCAGATCGTGTTATTTCAAAATCTTTGATTTAGTTTTCTGTGAGTATGGAGTGCTCTGACCTTCCAAAAAACTTGAATTCCTTTTTGGAAGAGTATTTAGAAAAGATCGGAGATGATTCAAAAGAAATAAAGCGAGATCTTGAGCTTATTCAGCAGCTCGACGAGGTAAACGCTCTTTCTTTGTACGACCATAGAGGTACACATCTCTTCTTCAGGAAATCGAGGAGCTTAAAACCCAGCTGTTGGATACTGCGGAGGAGAGAGTGAAAGCGAGCAGTTTGTTCTCTTCTGAGATGTGTGATGTGTAGGCATTGACAACGTTGATGAACTGCTTTCAAAGGACTATTTGTTTTTAAAGTTCAAGGAAAAGACGGGAGAGGCAATTGCCGTCTCGGAGGAGAAAGTTCAAATATCTCAGAGAATCACTCGGTTAATGGACAATGCCATCGCTCGTTTGTCAAACAAGATCGATGAATTTGGAGACGAAAGGAAAGCAATCGAAGAATCGCAAGCAGAACTAGCGAAGAATGCGGAGCTACGGAACTCAAAGAAGAAGCAAAAGGAAGAAGCAATTATGACAGATCCAGCTATTGCCGCCGCTGCTGCTGCTGCTGCTGCTGCTGCAGAAGAGTCTCAAACGTATTGTACATGTGGTAAAGTAGGGTCAGTAGAATCCTGTTAGTTGTAGCCTTCGTATGGAGAGATGATTGGGTGTGATAATGATAATTGTACCATAAAATGGTTTCATCTGCGGTGTGTCGGGTTGGATTCCATTCCTGAGGGAACTTGGTATTGCCCGATTTGTAGGCCGCTAATGGAAAATCAGAAAGCATAGTTGCTTTGTTTGTTGAAAATCGTTCGTTTTTTGTGGTTTGATAGTTTTTGAAAATGGCTGGCTGCAATTGTTCTATATATGTGCTGTAAAGAATCAATATAAGATTGCAAATGCTGCTCTTTCTTTTTCCATTCAACACTCATCAAATTATAACTTTTCCGGGTATACTTCTGTCTCAAGCACAAGCAATATCTGTCTAGAATTACAATAATCAAACTGACAATGCAATCGTTGCATGGGAGTTGGATTCCCACGGGAATGAGTGGAGTTACGTTGGATCGTAATTCAATTAGGATCACTCAATAGCAAGATTGTTCAACGAGTCAAATATGCCGTCTTTGGATTTAAAGACAGGAAGTGTAAATAACTATATTACCGAGTTTCTAAAGGAGATCGATGACATCTTTCTAAATCCTGAATTTAACACGTATGCGATTCATTCTGTCTCATAATTTGCATAGATTGGATTATGTGCTAAACATGATGAACAGGTCTCAAACAACTGAGGGTATGTATTGGGATCATCGTTAATCGGTTAGGAGAGAAGAGGGAAATGGAATTTTTAGACAAACAACAGCAGGTGATCGAGAAGTGTTTAGTGCCTGTTGTTCAAGCCTATTATAATGACTACAACAAGAGCTTAGCGAGTTTAACAGCAATTTGTGATGATTTCCGCAAAAACCAGGCAGAGGTGATAGAATTATCGAAGCGCATCCAAGACGTGAAATCTAAAATGTCTGGGAATCGCGGCGGCATTAAAGATTTGTTTTATGAAAGAGTGGGGCTTGTTACTGCAGTTTGCTGATTGTAGCTCTTGAAGGAATACACTCTGAAATCCCTTAAGAACGTGGAGTATATTCGCCAAGCTCCGAAAATCATGGATTCTCTGATCTCGAGTCGACTGTAGATTCGCTGCATGTTCGTGAGTTTTAGCTTCATTCGAGCGAGCAATCTCTACAACGAAGTGGCGACTCTCGTGAACGACAAGAGCATCTCCAGCATTCCAACGATCATAACGCTGCAAGCCCTGTGGGAGACGAAGCGAAAGGATTTGGAGAATGTGATGATGGACACGCTGCTTTCGTATTGAATGGGACGAGCTGCGATCGTAGAGTGGTGTACAAGGGCGATACAATGGAGTGGCCTTCCTACAAGGACGAGAAATACGATTATTTCGTAGAGATGGAGGAATGGGTTGAGTGGTAGGAATTAACGGAAGAGAAAGAGAAGGAGTTGGTGACGAATGGAAGTTGGAACTGCAGCAAATTCACAGTCATCGCGGTGATCATCAAATCAGCAACCATTTTGGGTGGGGATTCGAGAGGGCTGTGAGAGACAGGATGCAATCTAGCGGCGCAGAATCGCTTGCTGAGCAATAGCGTGTCGAACATCAACGAGATCGTGCTGCGGTTCGTGAACCAGGCGATCGCCCGCATTCAGGACCCGAAGGATCCGCTGGTGAAGGGAGAAGCGGCGATGGAATGGACGCTGAAGAACATTCTGATTACTTGCGAGGATGTGCTGAAAACACACATGTAGGGGAGAGGAAATCCAGTGAATTGGAAATGAATGGATGAATTTGGATTGAATGAATTGAATGAATTGAATGAATTGAATGAATGAATTGAATGAATTGAATGAATTGAATGAATTGAATGAATTGAATGAATTGAATGAATGAATTGAATGAATTGAATGAATTGAATGAATGAATGAATTGAATGAATTGAATGAATTGAATGAATTGAATGAATTGAATGAATTGAATGAATTGAATGAATTGAATGAATTGAATGAATTGAATGAATTGAATGAATTGAATGAATTGAATGAATTGAATGAAATGAATGAATTGAATGAATGAATTGAATGAATTGAATGAATGAATGAATGAATGAATTGAATGAATTGAATGAATTGAATGAATTGAATGAATTGAATGAATCATTGAACCACCAATTGAATGAATCATCGAATTCATTGAGCCATCAAATGAATGAATCATTGCTTGATTGAATGCTCCACTACTGAATTGACCCTTTTGTTTCCCCATTCTCATCCCATCTAGTTGCTGTATCGAGGCTTCTCTCAACAGCGTGGTCGTCGGCAATCTCGACTACGACAGCAATATCAATCCCCAATACAACACGATCGCCATCTACGAAAGCATTCAGAGCGCCATCAAGTCCTTCATCGACCGTTTCATCAGCGTTTCCCCGTTTCCTCACCCTCATCCCCAGCTCCCCACCACTTCTTCTTCGCTCTCCGCCCTCAAATTCGCGCAGAGCAAGAACGCCAAGGGCATCTCGATCTCCTTCTCCTTCGCCGCGTCGCCCGCCTGGGTGTCCAGCCAGCAGACCGTTCTGAGCGGTTCGCTTCCGCCCTCTCCCTCACCGCTAGACCTCAACGGAAAGCGGCTCAACACGAACGTGTTCTCGCAGCTGGCCGATCCAGACCCGCTCTATCTCTGCCCGATCTACTTCTACGTGAAGTCGTTCATCCTGCAGTCCACTCTGCTGGCCAATCGTTCGCCTTCTCGATTGGATTGAGTCGCAGAATCGCTAACTCGCATGTCGCTTCTCATCGACCGCTTCCCCAAGAGAATCGACACCCATCAGGACGTGGACAGCATGAATTCGCTCATGATGCTCACCAATTATCTCAACGAACACGTCGAAAACGATCTCGCGCCCGCTCTTCTCGACAAGGCCGTGTCGATCGTCCAGTCCGCCGTTTCGATCCCTGAATCGTTCATCATCAACGAAGAGGATGGGAAGCAGCTCAACGTGCATTCGATCGCTTTCGATGAGAAATAGTGCGTTCTCAGCCTGATCGGCGGATTCAAAACCATGGAGAGCAGCATCATGAAGCTCCAGCAGAACTACGATGTGGCCATTCCAAGTGCGATTGATCGGGGTTTTCTCACGCGCAGGCCTCACCAAAATGGTCGACTCCATCGCTGCCAAGTTCACCAACCTGATCGACGAGATGGTTCGCAATAGTTTCGCCAAGAAGCGATGCGATTGGTTCGGAAACAACGGACGCATGCTCCTCCTCAACAACCCCAACTACAAAGATATCATCGCCGAGATCTCCGGTTTCCCCGATTTCGTGCGTCCTGGTTTCCACGTTTCCCCATAGAGCTTCCCGGTTTTGGGCGAGCGCGAGCGCGCGGACGAAGAAGCGGCGATGAATGGCGATCTGCTTTCCTTCTTTGTGGATCCCGTGGAATCGGATCGATTGGCTGACGATTAGCCGATCGATAAAGAGCAATTGCTACTGAACGCGCGGCTTCTGCTGCTGTCCAATCTCTGCGAAGGCTCCGTGTCGATCATTCGCGCCATTCTCGAAAGTTGGTTTTGCTCGTTGCGATGAATCCAAGCCAAACAAGCGCGTCATCTCAACTTGGATCCCGCGTTCCCTGTGGATTTGGTCGGCGCGCTGTGTGGAAGTGACGCGTAGGAGAACTACGACGGCGTTTTGGATCGCTGCGTGCTGCGATTGAAGGAAGTGATGGACTACGCACTGGAATTGCTGGGAAACGAAATTAATGGCCGAAGTTTTTATTACATCAGCAAGTGGGACGAGGGAAAGAGAGAGGATTGTGCGTTGTAGACTCGCCGATTCGTTCAAAACGAACAGCTATAACAACGTGCCGCCTGTGATCATGGAGTTAATGAAGGACATGAAGGGCTTCTCCGATATCGTCTCCAAAATCGTGCTTCTTTCTCTCTCCAAATCGAAGCGTAGCTTTCGCCAGCGAAGGTTCATCTCCTCGGAACGCAGCTGAAATCGATGCTCTCCATCCTCATGATGCGCGTAGCTCTTGAACGAACGAGCGCGATGTGTAGTCGATCACCCACACGATGGTGGAAGTCGTGGACCGCAATATCATCCGCACGCTGAAGCAGAGCGCTGTGTGCTGCTCGCAGATCATGACGATGATGCTCCCCATGAGCGAAACCATCCGCATTGCGCGCGATTTGAACGATGTGAGCAAGGCGGGGTGGGTTGAGAATAGTATTTCTCGCTGGCGACGATGAAGAAGGAGGAGATTCGCGAGTATATCACTCGCCATCCCACGCGATTCACAAACCTCGACTATATGAATCTGTTTAAGATCACCACGGAGGATCGAGAACGCGACGACGCTGCGATCGATTGGATTGAGGATATTCTACAAGCAGCGAAGGCGGAGAGAGCTGCGAAGGCGAAGGGTGCTGCAAAGTCGAAGGGTGCTGCAAAGTCGAAATCAAGAATGTAAAAAACTGAATCATATTGTGGATTGTTTGTATTGAGAAAACAAGCCAAGCTACGAACTGCCAAAGATGATTGAGGGGAAATAGTATGTAACAATGCCTTGGTAATAGTCGACCCAAGCAATTCCTTGATCGACAAAGGAATCCAATTCTTTGACCCATCGGCCATGGTCATCGGTTCCCAAGTCAGACACACATATTTTCCCATTTTGTCTGTTCGCTTTTGAAAGGACTTTGAGTGAGTCCACGGTGAAGTTCATATCTGATGACTTAATATACTCCACGACTCCATCCCTATCTTCGATGGTTTCGATCGTGAGCGAATTGGATAGACAGGAAAGCTTTCGCACAGCGGTACGAATATCATCGCGGTGGACATGCTCAGCGTTTTTATTTTGATTGAGTCGTTCCTTGACTTCCGTGAGACGGATCAAACCACCGTTTTCATAACGTGTGTTAATACAGACTCCGAGCACACGCATTCCAAGCGATTTATAAAATTCATCCAAATTCTTGTTTAATAATCCTGCTAAAAACCCTTTCTTCTGAGTAAAAGGATCGACTCCGATATCATTGCAAAGTTTGTAGAATTTCTTTTGATACTCATCATCTCCCTGTAAAACTTCCTTCTGATTTTCCACAATACGCTGTAGGCAGGATTGTAAAGTCAGAACTGAACTCTTTAACGTTTCCACTCTTTTTTGTTCTTCATCATCGTCCAGCTGTGTTCTTTCTTCCATTCTTGTCAAGCAACAAAACCCAGTAGACTGGATATGCAAAGCAAGCTATAATGATATTCTGGGTTAAAATTCGAATTTCCCGCGGTTTCACTGACTTGATGGATTGACGCTTTTCTTTTTCCTGAAATCTTACTGAGCGTGATTGCAATCCATTGCTCCTATACACAGCTCCATGTCCAACCAAAATAGCAAAACTATATTATCAACTTGCATATTACTAGTTGAGAATAGTAATACACGACCTGCATGTTTTTAAGAATCGATGGGGTATCTTTGGCTATTTTGAGGGTTGCCGCGGGAATGCAGCCGTTTTTCTCATATATCGCCTCGATCATATTCTACTCATTCTAATAGAAGGATTCTATAATGCAACCAGGTAGGTATCATGAAATATATGATATATTGTTATTTTTGTAATATGGGTTCGTTGCTAAATTTGTCTAGAAATAGAGAAATACGTTCCTCCGCATTTGCGACATGCAATAGCGGACAACAGTCAAGTAGCGAACAGACCGAGGCCCTCTGAGACCAACTCGATGGCAAATAGGGGCAACAGCGGTTATTTATGGAAACGAAATTCAGAGGGAGGGTCATCTGATAGTTACAATCCTCCTGCCAGCTCGAACAGCAGATTCCAAAACTCCAGAGAAATGCGAGATGATCACTCCACCCACAACTATTATCCGCCACACGCCACTTCTAATCCGCCAATATCGAGTCGTTGGGCTGGATTGGTTCAGGAAACATATCCACCTCGCCGCTGGACGAACCGACGCGGAGCCTACAAGAATCACCTTGGTTTCCATGGTTCTTTGCGCCCTTCCAGATTTTCTGAAAAGGAGTTATTCGAGTCAATGGAACATGTAACGGAAGGAATAAACTTTGATAACGTACGTGTCGAATGTCTAACTCTCACGGGAAGTACGACAACATTCCAGTCGAAGTGAACGGTGACAACATCCCCGAGCCCATTCCCGAGTTTTCGGAAGAATACATTCCCAAATCGCTTCTCGATAATATCATTCGCTGCGACTACAGACGTCCCACCCCTGTGCAAAAATACGGTCTCGCCATCGGCTGCATTGGCCGCGATTTGATGGCCTGCGCGCAGACAGGTTCTTTTTTTTCTCTCTCTCATTTGACCGCAGGCTCGGGCAAAACCGCGGGCTTCCTGTTCCCCATCATCATCTCCATGCTCCGCAACGGTCCCAGCAAGGCTCCGCTCCCCGACGACTACGGCGATCGCTACTTCCCGACCTGCCTCATCCTCTCCCCGACGCGTGAGCTGGCTCTCCAGATCTACCAGGAATCGCAGCGCGTAGCCCCTTCCTTGCTCCTCACGAGCAGTTCTGCTACTGCACCGGCATCGCCTCCGCCGTCGTCTACGGCGGCACGCCCATGCGCGAAGTCCTGGACTCGCTTCGCTCCGGCTGCGACATCCTCGTCGGCACGCCCGGCCGCGTCAAGGACATGATCCAGCGCGGCATTCTCGGCCTCGAAGGCATCACGTTTCCCTGGTTTCCTCTTTTTACTCGCAGCCATCTCGTGCTGGACGAGGCGGACCGCATGCTGGACATGGGTTTCGAGCCGCAGATCCGCGACATCGTGGAGCAGTCGGGCATGCCGCGCAACCGCCAGACGCTCATGTTCTCCGCGACGTTCCCCGACGAGATCCAGCGCCTCGCGGGCGACTTCCTCATCGACTACGTCTTCCTCGCCGTGGGCCGCGTCGGCGGCGCCGCGCAGGACATCGAGCAGCGCGTGATCTACGTGGAGGACGCCGACAAGGACTCCTACCTCCTCCACGAGCTGGAGAACTGGGGAAACGGACGGATCCTGATCTTCGTGGAGACGAAGCGCAAGGCGGACATTCTGCAGCGCTATCTCACCACGCAGCACTTCCAGGCCGCGTCCATCCACGGCGACCGCTCCCAGGCCGACCGCGAGGACGCGCTCAGCGCGTTCAAGCTCAACCGCGTGCAGATCTTGGTGGCGACGGACGTGGCCGCGCGCGGACTGGACATTCCCGACGTGTCGCTGGTGATCAATTACGACACGCCGCAGAACATCGAGGACTACGTCCACCGAATCGGACGCACGGGGCGCGCTGGAAACACCGGCGTGGCCATCAGCTTCATCAACGAGAACAATCGCCCCATCGCGCGCGATTTGTACGATCTGCTCGATGAAAATAGTCCCGATTTTTGGATTCACTGAGACGTAGACCAGAAAATCCCGCCCTCGCTGGGAGAGCTCTGCATGTCGCGCCCGCGAGGCCGCTCGGGACGAGGAGGGTTCGGAGGCCGCGATATCCGACATGGAACTCCGCGAGCGACGCGTAATTTTGGTCGCAATGGAGATCGCGCTGGGAAAAACGGATACACAAGAAAGGGAAGCGGGTATAGTCAAGAGAAAGAGGCGCTGGAGAGCAAAGATTCTTGGAGATAAGAAGTGGAAAGGGGTGGTAATGTTCCTTTTCGGTGTTTGTTGAAACAAACCGTTGTGTTTTTGTTTTTGTTTTTTTTATAAAATGAAAATACGCAGACGTTGATTCTTTTGGGATGGGGCGGGATAAAGTGCGATTTACGAACTGGAGGATGTGGGTTGGCTCAACTTTGAAAAAAACGCGTTCCAGACCTCTGCAACCCGCGCTGTATCATTGCTCAGACATCAAAGCAGTGAAGTAGTCTTACGACATCAATTAGTTGCTCCATATTCATGTTTAGCCTCTTCATACTATTTACCACATCTTCGAGAGACTATCCTATTATGATAAACAAGGGTTTTCTTACTAAGGTAATTTCCTCAATAAGTCGAATCTTTTCATCATGGCCAGTGGACTACGTCGTACAAATTACACTTCCTTACCAGACTCATGATAAACAAATCCAAGGGAAAAAATATGCAGGAACGATTGGATCATTATAATTTGAAAAATACCTGAGCCTTTATATATATATATTGATAATGGTATGGTAATAGGTTATGACTTTTGAGTGAAAACAAGAGAAATGACAAAAGACAAGAAATTGGAAAAAGTATTCAAGAATAAAATATTTGTGTGATAAGGGGTAATGGAAATGAGGTAGTGAAGAAAAGAATTGGATTCATTGGATTCTTGTGCCAGTACCAAATGCGAGCTATTCATGTAAACGGCAATATTTCAAATCCTAATGTGAAAATAGCTACAGAATAGACAAGAAGATTGACCATAACGTTTTAGAATGACTTACTTTCATCAATCTTGCTAGACATTACAAAATTTAATAAAAATCATGCGATACAAACACTAAGACTACCAGAGATAACAAAGAGAACTTCCACACAAAACATCAGAAGTAGCTTTGATAACCAAAAATCACTTCGCAAAGCTACAGAATACTTATAGGAACCAGATCAGAGTGTGAATTTGCCAGGGATTATGTACTTCCGAAGTGCACATCACAATATACTTGTTATACTTTGTAATAGCCATCCAAAAGAAAGTTATATAAAATCGTTAACAGCAGTTACTAGATTTATGGTGCTATGTCACGAATTGAATTAATATATATATTAAGGTCGAATCTAATGTTAGTGACAGTTATGTGATATTTCGGCAAAACAATTTACCTGATGAATTTATAATAAGATACATATAAGACAAAAAGAATGCTGCTGATGTTTTAATTGGTTATCCTTACTCAGACTGTAAAATCGATACAAGACTTGTAAACTCGAAAATGGATGGTGCTTTAACAATTGTTAACAGTGAAAACGTTGTTATTGCAATACTGAATATCGATAATGGAATTGCGACAGGACCCTACATCCCAAAAATGACATGAGTGGCTTACCGTATTTAATGGGATATTTAAAAAATGGATATCGTCATGGAAGAGGGCAAGAGTATGATCTAAATGGAAAAATGACATTTGATGGATACAATAATCAAGGTAAACGAATGAAAATACATCAAGTTCCTGAAATGAAAAGATATTGGAAAGAATTAGATGAAAATGACATTGTTACATGTATTAGTAAACGGGATGATCATCGAAACAAATATGGGATATGTTATCTCTATAATAGAAATGAAATATCATGTATTCGTGAATGGAAAAAGGAAAGGAAATGTACATTGTTAAACAGTTTAATGGTTAAATAATAACTGAAAATAGAAGTTACCACAAATGATATGAATATGGGTATTTAAATGGTAAAGGACATGGCGAAGAGTTGTCATACAAAAGAAGATTTGTTTATCAAATATCTATGTGGATTCATGGCCATAGTACAAGAGAAATATGGTTCTATTTAGCATTATTATTAATAATAATGACTGCGATAGCATTCATATATGTTTCTATTACAATTAGATTCTTGGTATTATTGTGTTACTAGCAAGCCTAATTCTTTTAAAAACAATATATAGATTACTATTTCACAACATTGATGGTGTAGAATACTGTAAAACGCTCTTGGTATCGAGATTCAACACGAATTGATTGCTTTGCTCGAAAGAAAATCCTTTTTCTCCTTCTCTCCCATCAAATCCAAATCCAAATCCAAACTCAATCTCCAATCCACTTTCCCTTCCCTTCCCTTCCCTTCCATTCCATTCTCCAACAAACAACTCAATACCCTAAATGACTACGACTCTTCCTTCGGGTTTTCCTCTTCCTCTTCCTCCTCCTCTTTCATCGCAGCCGCCCTCTCTTCCTCCTCCCGCTGCTTCCGCATCCGAATCTTCTCCTCCTTCGGCCTACTTCGCACGCATTTTCCTCGCCTACTTCGGCGCATTATCCAGCAAAATCAGCATGAACGTCATGTTATCCTTGCTGTCTCGCTCCAAACACACATCCAGCAGTCGGCAGCACGCCTCCTCCGGCGTCTCATAGCTCTCCTTCGCCTCACTCGCCGCTCCTTCGCCTACCAGCAGCTCGTTCATCACCGGAATCAGCTCGTCGGGGCGGAAAACGTCCCAAATCCCGTCGCACGCGAAGATCAGATAGTTGTCCGAGGGGTCGCGCGCGATCACGCGGATGTCCGGCTCGCAGGACACCGGCTGCGCGATCGGAGACAGCGATTTGTTCTGCTTGTAGATGAAATCGCCGAACGAACGCGACACCGCGAGATCGCCATTCACGCGGTTGTTCAGAACGTACCCACCCGCGTCGTAGATTCGTTTTTTCTCGGATTCCTTTGCAATGAAAGCGAATGCGAAGCCCTACGAGCGCGGGCTTGTGATCCACCGAGAGAGGGCTGGCATGGCCGTCGCGGGACAAAACGCAGCGGGAATCGCCGAGGTTTGCAATAACAAAATGAGAAGGAGACACAAAGCCGCAAATTGCCGTGCTCCCGCTCATTGCCTAAAAATCAGCGAAAACGCGCGGAAATAACAATATTCGCTTCGTGGATTTCATTGTCAAATGCAATGATCGCGTCACGGAATGATTCATTGAAAGCTTCTGTAGGAGTACCCTAAATCACACAAAATCGAGAAAAATACTGAAAGAGATTGCCCCTTCATCTTTTGCTTCATTGAATCCACTAAGTTCTCTCTTCTTCACATCAAGCGAAACATGGAGAAATACATATACGAAGAGGTTGCTGCGCCACCATGTCCATCAAAGACTCCAAAAAACCCGCAATCAGGTAACCATTCAAGCTCAGGCTCGCAGATGTGCTGGTCCTACTTCTGAGCCCTTAGACCCGCTCTCACTTCCATAGAGATTCTCCACCCTTGCATTGAGACTACTACTCCCTTGTTTCCTTTGAAGGTAAACGAAGTAACATCCTTATCTACTACAGGCTGGTTGAGAATATTACCCATTTCGAGAAAATGAGTTCTACCAAGTTTTTTAGAGAAATGGAAATCATGTAATCTCCCGCGGGAAAAAAAGCTCTCATTAACAAACAGCTGATACTACACTTTTCTTACTCTTCCTTCATAAACACGCGAACTGTCAGCTTGTCGCCCAAACGACTGTACGTATACCCAGACCGGCGGAACATGTTCTTCATCTCTCTCACGTTCTGAAACGCGGGCTTTACATCCTCCGCAGTCAGAACAACGTATTGGCGGACTTTGTTCACGTAACGAGGAATTAACTCTCTCGCCACATTCCAGTCTGAAAGTGAGTCAAACGCTTTGAAATCGAACTGTTATCCGAGATATCTATAAAGATCGTGTCAATGCGAACGCCATCGTTAATCAAAGTGTCGATTGTGTTTTCAACGAGAGAAACGGAGTGTAAATCGTCTATTACACGCTCTGTCCAGCGATCCTGAAGAGTGGAAGGAATGGAAATTGGCTGTTTTGGTGTGTGAATTGACTGGATCAAAGCGAAAAACCATTCTATACGATGATTGAGGGATTAAGCGAGGAATGTAAAAACGGAGTTTCGAATTCATCTCGGTCGTGGTCTCCTATCGATACAGCCACCCTTTTCGTTAGAAACACAGAGAAATGACACTTACATGTTTGACACACCGTCCACCTTCAGTTTGAATGATTTCGCAGAGACCTCGACATCATGAACAACGGATTCTGAAATAGAAGGCTTAAAACAACACACATACTTCGAGTAGCAAGAGGCACATTCAGACCTTTGCGATTTTTATCTACATTTCCAGTCCATCTCGAATTCATACATTGATTTACAGACAATTCCATGTTTCGATACTTGTCATTGTCCCAATCCGCATTGAATTCTATGGATTTACTGCAGCTCACTCGGCATACTTCGCGTGATTTCTGAGATTGAAATCGAATCAGGTTGTTTGTTACGATTCATCCCAATACAATAAAAGAGAGCTCCAGAGCAAGCAACAAAGGCGATTATATAGAGAAAATTCGATGTGACACCTTTCATAAAATACACTTTCTGTTAGACTTTGCTCTTTCCTCTTTTTTTATTTTGGATTTCCATATTGTTTGTTGTTTTCACTTTGTATCTATCTGAATATCTCTATCATTTTTAATTCCTCTCAATTCCAAATGGTACAATCCGCATTCTCTAATAACAAACATTAGAAACCAAGCTCAAACGACTAAAAGTACGGTAAGTTACTGCTGTGAGAGCAATTTTGTATTTGGGTAGTCCAGTTCACCCAAACTAACAGTGACAAACACAGCAGCGAAAGAGCTGTCAAAGCGAAGCTGCTTTTTTGACAACCTCATTATATCGACATTGGAATGACCTCAATAAGTTATTTGTATAATGAAGATTCAATATCGGAAGTCATTCGAGAAAACTCTCCGCCATTCCATGATCCGAAGGGATTCGACAAGCTATTATCTCTCGCAGTAGACTCAATCGACAAGTTTCCTTATTCTCATCTCTTTTCTACCACCGTATTACAGCGAATTGCCACCGTACCCCAATTCCCCATTTTCACGCCTAGCACTACACAGAAAATTCAGAATATGACTCTTCCAAATCTCCCAGCCAGACCGAAACCATGGACCCGCTCCTGGTTTCGTCCGTGAAAGAAACAGACCCGTTTGTTGAAGACTTTGTTTCCTGGTTCATCCAGCAACGCATCCGCAAAGGCGACGTACTCCTTCTCTACCACTCCACCAATTCTAGGCGCAGCTCCGAACCCTCTTCTCTCCCTATTTCAACGACCTCTTTAAGAAGCAATCCCTGAAAGAGCGTCTTCAAACCGCTCTCCATTCCTTTTCTCTCTCTTCCGAAACGATCCAGGATCTCCAATCGTCCTGGAATCGCCACGAAAACCAACCCTTCCTTTCTCTTCTCTTGTTTTGCGTTCTATTTGACAAAACCGAGCAAACCACAATTCTTTCACGCCAAATCGAATCCATTCTCCACGAAGAATGTAACGCTCTCCTTCTCTACGATTTCGTGCACCACTCTCGCATCGATGCCGAGCCGCCCAGCAGCATGTGCGCTCATCTCCAACGCGGCTGGATTCAATGCGAATGTACGTTCGATTTGGCGGGAATTTTATGCAGCGATTCCACTCGAAAAGCCGCACTTCTGGACGTTTTCGTGCTGCGTTCGCTTCTGGAACTGCGCGGAGAACGTTCCGTTTCTGCAAATCGACGTGTTGTCCCACACAATCGAACTCTTTCTCAAAGCAAACACGCTCTGGGTGCGCATTGGAGACGACGAGACGGAGTCGCCATTCCGCATTTTGGATGACGTGTGGACTGGAATCGATTTTGTTTATGATTCTCATCTCGAAATTCGTGTTTTCGAGAAGAGTTTCCTTATCGAAAAAGCGTGTCCAGGATTGAAATCGTGTCGGTTTGGGAACGAAAGCACCACAATGGACGTGCTGTCGTTCCAAGCCAATCAACGCCAAGTGTTGTTTTCGTTTTCGTTTTCGTTTTTGCTTGGTATGGGCTTGTAACGCTGTAGAGCAGCAGAACCTTTTTTTACTCCCATCACTTCCGATTTTTCTTCCCGTTCGTATCCCCTCTCCATTTCCTTCTGGAATGCCTACTGGGGAAACGTGGAACCGCTTTCCGTAACGGAATCGACGCTCCTCGCTGCGATGAAAACCGAAACGCTTTCCGCCAAACCAACGGAGGAGGAATCAAATTGGACAAATCTGCTCGAATTGTGGAATGACAGAATTCAGAAGTATGCTCGCTTTCGTGTTTTTTTAAACTAGATTTCGAACGATCAACGTGAACCACACGCAGACATCCACTCCTCCTTTTCCACTCCCTTGCCAGGACCAATCGGCCTGCCTTCTTCTTTTGATCACACTCACATTCAATCACCCCTCTCTTCTCAATCTTCTGGACAACACTCTTTCTTTCCACATGCCCCACAAATCCCACCCCGCTTTAACTTCCCTGCTTCCCCTTTTACTCGACATTTCCACTCGCATGGAAAGCAAAACGCAGCACAAACGCGAATCCGAAGAAAACCAGCTCGACGAACAAACCAATCTCCCCGAACGATCCCCCTCCGCGTAGTTTCCCCGTTTCTCCGATCACAAATAGAGAAGAAACGGGCTACACTCGCATTCTCCAAATCATCTCGACCCACTTTTCCTCTTTTTTTGGCAGCACGGAAGCCCAGCTCGACTACTTAATTTCTCTCACAATCGCCGTCACATCGCCTCTGCTGTCTCCCAAATCCACTTCTGAAAACCGAATCGCCGAGGACGTTCTCGAAGCGGTCTGTCAGAACCACTTCCTCATCACCGAATTCGCTTCGTCGCTCATTCCAAACCGCGACGTTTTGCATTGGCAGCATCGCTATCACGAGCTCAACGCCGATTTGATCCGATTCGACGCGTCGATTTCCACTGCAGGCGTCGCGATCAACTCCAAAGGCGACTTCGTAATCAACAGCAACCCCAACCGATCCAAGTTCAACGCGGCGTTCTGCTCGCCCGCTCTGGAGAGCGGCGTGATTGAGATCAAATGGCGCTTGGAGGACGACCGCATGAACGACGAAATGACGTGCTTCGGCTTCACGACGAGTCCTTTCGAGTCGAATAAAAACTACGAGGAGAGCCAATCGATGTGGGTGTATCGCTGTTTCAACGGGGATTTGTACAGCCAGGGACGGAAGCTGGAGAGATCGCTGGAGAAAGCGCACGCAGGCTCGGAAATCACGTTTCTGTTTAACTTGGACGAAGCGACGGTGTCGATTTCGATCAACGAACGAGCCTATGGCGTCGTGTTCGCCTCCATCCCGACACCTGTCTATCCTCTTGTTTTGTTTTACAACTCACAACCCCCACAGCGCGCCGTTCGCTTGGTTTCGGTCACGTGCCAATCGAATTCGATCGCTTCCTCCTCCTTGTCGAGCGAGCAGCCCGAAGCTTCTTCAAGCTCGGGAAACGTGTCCTTGCTAATCCACCATCTTTCAGAGTGTGTTTACTCGCCTTCTTTTCCATAGATGTTACTTCACCACGCACGACAAATCCATTTTGTTCACGCTCCAAATCCTTCTAGAGCGCCTTTTCAGCTCCTCCCAGCTGCTGCGACGCTGCGGATTGTACGACGATGTCTCGCCCCCAGCCACGAGCGTCCGGCTCTCTGGCTCGCTGTTAGATTGGTGTGACGAGTGTTGGTAGTTTTTCTGCTCGGCTTTCACGCAGCAAACCTCCCTCGCAGCTCTCGCACCCTCTCCACTTCTCCACCATCCACACCAATCTTCTAACGGCGTCCGAACATGTCCTCACGCACACCGCTAGCGACCACTGGGCCTTTGCGTCGTTTGTTCTTCCGGAGCGATCGGACGCTCTGTGGATCGTCCGCATCACCTATCACGCAACGAAAGAGCCGCAGCTGATCGTTGGAATCATCGAGGAGACGCAGGACTCCGGTTCACTCATCGAGCGTCGCTCACATGTAGACGAAGTGAATTACGAAACGTTTCTGGGCAGCGATAAAAACACGTGGGGCTACAAAACATCAGGGCAGCTGTATCTTTTTTTATCTCCTCCTTTGATTGGCTAGATTCCACGGGAATCAATGCACGGGCAACGTGATTCGATCGAGCCCTCAATCCTCGCTCGTGTTCATCTTCGACGGCATCCAGCGCGAAATTCGCCTCCAAATCGACTCCATGAACCACGTGACGCTCTTCGACTCGCTCCCAGAACACTGGATCCCCGCGATTGCTCTTCTCCGCGAAGGTGATTCGGCTTCTGTGGATCTTCTCCCCTCGATCACGTCGGTCTCGCAAGAAACGCGTTGGTGCGACCTGTACAAATCCTACAAAGGCGACGTGTATCTGGCAGGAGAAGTGAGTGAAAACGTGGTGCGCGTGGTGGAGTTCGTTCTGCAGGACCTCGTAACGCACTTGAATGAAGGCGAATTGAGCCAGAATCGATTGTATGGGATCGAGTGTTGATTGAGACGAAGGCAAAACTATCTGAACGACTTCATTTATCCGATGCTCGCTACGATCTGTCTGGCTTCATTCACCAACGAGCAGTGGACTCTTCTCTCTTCCAAATGTCTCATTCTCATGAAGCGTCTTCGACTGTTGAACCTCCAAAACCCGTTCAGCGAATTCTTGGAGTGCCTTCTGGTCCAGTTCCTGTTCTCCTACTCGCAGCCACTTTGCCATTTGACGCTTCTGCAAGGCGCGGTGCATGGGTTGAAAAGCAGCGAATTGGCGACTCACAAGTTCGGAGAAACGGCCATCGAAGTGGATTGGAACCGCGAAACGGACGAAGAGCATGTGTGTGAAGAAATGATTGGAAACGGAACCACGCGAATGAAACGATTATTCGAATTGTTGAATCATTCCTTTCAAATTCCCGCCAATTTGGGCAAAAAATGGGGAGAATTGGCGGGGATTTTTTGTCGATCTTGCTTCACCTTTTGTTGTCACCATCTCTCCATGATTTCTCTGTATCGGTTCCACGTTTCCCCTTCTCTATAGAATCGATGCCTTTTCCACATACCTTCTCACATCATCATCATCATCTCCACTTTCATCTTCCATTTCAACACCCACCATTCTCACCATTCTCTGGAAACACGTCACCTTTCTCTTTTGCTCGCGCGTTTCCAATCTCCAACCCGATTCGCTCCAGCGAATCATCGATCGAATCCAAACCCTCACACTTCACACCGCTTCCCAATTCGACTTCAACGCCGCCACACGTCCCTCCACTTCTCTCTCCGTCGATCTCGACGAGACTCCACGCGTAGTTTCGATCGAATTCCTCGACGTGTAGAGCGTTCCAATCCCCATTCAAACATTGTATTCGCTGCCTCGCTCTTCTGCGATGGTCGAATCAATCGATTTTTCGTCATTGTCTAGTCCGCAGTCTTCCAGTCGCTCGAAGAAGCGTTCAATTCGCCGCTCGCAGCCTCCGAAGTGCTGCAGACCATGAAAGAGCAGAGCAGTTATGCGATGGAGAAGCTCCAAATCGGAGAAACCATCCGCGAATGTGTGAACGAATTCAGCGAGGAAACGCCCGTTTCGGTGATTTTGACGTGTTTAAAATGCCTGAAATCGTTCGATTCCTCGCCGATTCCGATGATTTGCATTGAATTGCAGACGGCTCTGCGCGAACAGCAGCACCACGCGATTTCTTCGCTGGTCCATCTGATCTATTCGATGATCATGAAGGGCATCGCGGAAGGCGACCACTTGCTTTCTCTCGTTTGCTTTCTCTCCTTCCATTCGACGTAGTTACTCCACATTCTGAACTATGATTGGTCCGAGGAAGACCTCATTTTCCTCCAGCAGCTCGACATTTTCACCACCCTCGAAACGCTTCTCCAGAAGCAACTCGAGTTCCACCCCTCCCTTCTCTTTCTCGAGTGCACACTCGACCAAATCGTCATCATGACGCATCGTCTCACCCACTTCTACCACCCTCTCGCCGATGCCTCCTCTCCCTCCTCCAGTCGCGAGTCCACGCTCTCTCATTATCGCTCCAACTCCGTCGGGCTTCCCTGCATCGTCTCCCTCACCTCCTTCCTCTTCTCGTTGCTCCAGCAGCTCGCCACCAAGCCCGAATTTCAAGGCCTGCTCACCACCTCGATCGTCTCGCGCCTCCTCCAATCGCTCCAGCTCCTCCTGCCCTCCTCCAAAGAAGGAATCGTCGACTGGATCCAGACGCTCTTCCTCTGCCTCGCCATCTGCGACCCGTCCGCGCAAATCACCATCATCTCCTCCATCGAGCTCATCCTCCTTCTCATCCCCAACATCTCCGTCCACGACGCCTCCTCCATCACTTCTCAATGCTTCGCCATCCTCGTCGGATGCTTCGCCAACCTCTTCGCCAGCGACGTCTCCGTCCTCGTTCTCTTCGTGAAGCAGCACGTCTGCGTGCAGCTCGTCCGCCGTCTCCTCCACCTCCCCGTCTGGCAGTCCATCGCGCAGGACGAGCTTCTCCGCCTGCTCCGCTCCGACGACCCCCACGAAATCCTCGCCGGCTGCAGCGTGCTGGGCGGCGAGCTGATTGGCCTCTTTCCTGGCGCTCCCGCCACGTTCACGCCGAAGAAACTCCCGGTGAACGAGAAGACGGGGATCGGCGAGATCTACCGGCACGCGGAGAATTGCAAGGTGCTGGAGATGGATTTGGAGCGGGAAATGGCGACGATCCGGATCTTCCGGACGGGAGAGGAGCGAGAAACGTCGATCTGCTCGCTGGACTACCGTCCGCCGCTTCGCGCGGAGCTGCAGTTGTTCTCTGCGTCGCACGTGAATCAGCTGTTCGCGCTGTTCGACGCGCATTGCAGCCCCGATCGAAAGTAGCGATCTCGCCGTCCATTCAGCCGTTTAGGATGGAAACACACATCCAACACGAGGTGGAATCGCACTTCTTGCAAGTGTCGATCACCAAAGCGATGGAGCGTCTATTCCGCTGCATGACGTCCATTTCTATCCAGCAGATCGACCTCGACTTCGTCTTCGCTCTCCTCAAACACAGCCTTCGCCTCACTCACACGCCCGGCATTTCCGTCGTCCCTTTCATGATCCACATCGCCGTCTCCTCCGCCATTTCCCAGTTTTTTTCTCTCTCTCTCCCGCCATTCCGTAGATTCAACGAGTTCACCGCGGTTTTCCAGCCGTCCTCGCTGCTCCCGATCCCCGCTGCTTCTTCTTCTTCTTTTTCTTCGTCGTCAACTTCGTCGGATTCCTACGCGCCGGTTGAATTCATTCAGTGGGAAATCGGCCGCGACGGCGAGGCCTGGAAGCCGCTCTCTCGCGACGACTGCGACCTGCTGAACGAGCTGGTGCGAAGCGACGTGGGCGCGTGCGTGGTTCGCCTGCAAGGAACCGACAAATATCTCCTCGACACACACGAATTCTCGCTCGTTCACATCCATTCCGGGTATCTTTCTTTTTTTAATTTGATGTTTTTTTCTAATGCATAGAGCGGAGTGGAAGCTACGACAGGGCTCGGCAATTCCTTCCGTGTCGGACATCCTCATCGGCATGGGTTTCACTCCGAACCACGTGGATTTGGCGGTTCAATGCCACGGCGAAGACATCGAGGCCTGCATTCAATTCATTCTCTCTCTCCAAGCCTCCAGTCCCTCCGCCTCCGATTCCTTCTTCCCCGCGGAATCCAAATCGGGCGACTCGCTGCGGTCGTCGTACGACTCGGTATTGCTGTGCGTCGCGGACGAGGAATTGCCGAGTTTGACGGAGTTGGATTCGGTGAAGAAGGATTGCGCGAGCGACACCGAGGGCACCGACCGGTACAAGCGCTGCTATGGGGGCGATCTGAGCCAGATCGATATCTGTGAGGAGATTCTGACGAGTCATGCGAGCGGAAGCGGGAGTGCGAGCGGAAGCGGGAATGGAAATGCGAATTCCAATGGCAACGCTGCGACCGCACAGAATGGTTCGATCGATCCGGAGGAGCATTTCATGAACTATCTGTGGACCTACGCGTTCCGCTACGACTTCTGGAGCAAGCAATCGATCCGTACATTCCTCGCCGATCCGTCACTTTTAGGCCCGAATTCTGGAATTTCCCAATTAGACGCGTGTCGTCGCATCCTCGCCAACCGTATTTCCCCTTCTTCCCCTTTTCTCACATCCAGTCTCCAAGATCGTGACCATATTATCGCGGGAAATCCTCGTCCGTCTGCTCCTCCAATCGAATCTCCTCGACGAACTTCCAAAAGAACCCTCCTTTCTCTCCCGCTGCTGGAAAATCCTCAAAATCGTCCTCCTCCAAAGCTCCGCCCCTCTCCTCAAGCCCCGTCTCCAATCGCGTCTCCTCGACGCTCTCCCCGACTGGCGAAACGCCCTCGAACCGGATCTCTCGAGGGCGTTTCATCTCCTCGCGCTGCCGCAGTACGGCGAGAGCCGCAAGCGCAGCCGCTGCATCGACTTCAACACCGACTGGGACATCTGCGTGAACCCGCAGCTCCGCGTCCTTCTGGCCGTCTCCACGCTGCTCTCGCCGCAGGCCTGGAGCCCGGAGGCGCGCTCGTTCTTCCAGTGGATCGCCTCGCAGTGGATCGCTCTGCTCCCCAACGCCTCCTTCATCGTCAACGAAGCCGCCTACACCGCGCTCATCCACTGCGTCCGCGTCGTCGCCGAGGCCAGAGAGCCGTTTCTGCAGAAGTGGCTCTATCGTCAGCTGCATGGAATAACCGCGGAAGGCGTGGTCGTCGCGGAAATCCAGAAGGAAATCGAGCAGTGGCCGCTCTACTCGACGCAGCTGCAAAAACTCGTCGAATTGGCGCTGTTGAAGGATTCGTTGCAGCCTGTGGATGAAACGCCCGAAACGGAGAAATGGCATTGTTACCACTTTTTGAAAGGAGGAACAATAACCGTGAAAAACCGATTATTGTTCCCGTCCTGGACGTTCGAGTTTTCCATCCGCGTCGATGAAACGCTCGGCGAAACGCCCTTAATAGTGTGCAGCGAATCAGAAAGTGTGTTCCAATTCGTCCGAACCGAATCCAATGAGATCGTGTTCCAGTTCCTCGGCGAGAACGAATCCATTTCCTTCCTCTGCGATCTCCCCGCGGGATCCTGGACGCACTTCGCGTTCGTGGTGGACGCCGTGACTACCGTTTCATCCCTCCTCGCGATCTGATTGGTAGAGCTGCACCTTCTACGCCAACGGCTTTCCTCAGCCCCCCCAGATTTTCTCGTCGCCCTGCCATCTGCAGGCGCTGGGCAGTCTCCAGAACACACAAGCCTTCGACCTCTGCGAGGTCCGACTGTGGGCCTGCGCGCGCCCCGCGTCGCTCCTGCAGTCCTTCCAGAAAACAGAGCTCTCTCTACCGCTTGTAGGCCCCTTCTTGACGCTGTATCTGCCGTCGATCGCGAGGAAGGACGCGGCGTTCCAGCCGACCGACTTGCTGAACAGAGGAACGCGGTTCCACGCGCAGAACGTGGAGTTCCGGACCGGAGAAGCGGAGGTGTTCCGGTCGGTGCAGCCGAAGGAGACGCTGCTGTTCGATTACCGGGGCGTGTGGCGGTTCGACGCGGCGGATTGGATGAGCGGGAACTGGAACCAGGCGTGGAGCGTGGAGTGTCAGATTCGATGCTACCACGCGTTCGATTATTACCGAGCGGAAATACTGTTACTCGACGAGCTGACGGCCATCGAGATGGCGGGCGAGGCCGAGAAAGACTCGGCAATTCTGCGCACGACGCAGATCCACAGTTTGAATCCACTCACCGAGAATTGGATCACGCATTTGCGACTTGTTTTATCGCTTTCCCACCCCTTCACGTTCTCCTTCCAATCCACCTTCCCTTTCCACGTTTCTCCGATGAAACCGCCCACCTCGATCGGGTTCCACGTTTCCCTACACTCCTCCATTCTCGACGTTCCTTCCGCCACGCTCGTCCTCAACAAATCCGAAGTCAAACAATGGGGAATGGCCATGGCGGTCCTCCATCCCGCCCAGCGCACCGCGGTGATTCCTCAGGGCATCACTACGGGCACGTGGGCGTGGGATATTTCGATTAAACGTTGCTCTACACAATACATGGGGGTCGGAATCGCGTCTCTCGGAACCAAATTCACCTCCTATCTAGGCAGAGACTTCACCGGATGGGCCTTTCAGCCCACCGGAGAGAAGTGGCATGCCAACGTCGGCACGCCGTACGGCCCGCCACGGCCGTCCTACAGCGAGGGCGACACGATAACCGTGGAAATCGACATGGATCGAGGCGAGCTTTCCTTCTACAAAAACAATTTGTTCTTAGGCGTCGCGTTCGACAACGTGCGCCAGAGCGCCGTCGCCTCGAAGTACGGCGTCTTCCCCGCGGTTACGTGCTATCGATCGGGAGACATGCTGGAATCGCGGGGATTTCGGAATGGCGAAATCACGGACTATTTTTCGTCGCTGGATATGTTAAATCGCGTGAAATGGACGCAGATGTGGTCGAATGGAAAACGCCACGGATACGGAATGATCGAATATCAGAGCGGAGAAAAGTGGCACCGCGTTTGGAGAAACGGAGTTCCCGATGACCTCGTTGTGATCGAAAATGATGGAACGTGGAAAATTGAATTGTTGAATTGTGACGAACTCACTCATTCCGAAAACCAAATCGATGTGGAGGCCTATTTTGGACGAGCCGTCTCGATGGACGAATCCCTCGTCGCTCTGCTTCGAGCCATCGAATTACCCCCGATTTCTGCATCTCCAGAAATCAACACGATGGTGACCGTCAGCGGAGCTGGCCAGCTTTTCCCATCCCAGCTCTTCACGTTCTCGCCGGCGCACTGCGCCGCTGGAATCGAGCTGAGCGACGATTTGCTTTCCGCTCGCTGCGCCACCAATAATCGATGCATGGTGCTCGGCTCCCGCGGTTTTACCAGCGGAAAAGTGTACTGGGAAGTGTCCGTGGAGAACTGCGACTACGGAACACTATTCATCGGGGTGGCGGGGAAATTGGCGGGGAGCAGTCATCAGTGCTGGCGCGATTACGGGTTCGTAAGCAATCGGTCGTTCCAGGACCACGCCAATGAATACTTCTACGGCGTGCAGTTCTACAAGGGCGACGTGATCGGGGTTTTGCTGGACATGGATCACGGCGAACTCTCCTTCTTCAAGCAAGGCAAGGACTTGTACTACTCGCATCATTCGCTGCTGTCGTTCGGCGTGGCGGCTCGCAATCTTCACTCGAATGGAGGCGAGCTGCAGGTGATTCCGCTGTTCCCGTCGATCGGATTCAAGCGCTGCGGCGACGCCGTGACGCTGCGGAATATGAAAGGCGTGGAGGAGAGCGGGAACGACGCGGAGGGAAGTCTGAAGCAGGTGCGATTTGCGTATCATTTGATGCGAGCGATGTATGTGGGGAACCCGGAATTGCTTCCTTCCTTTGTGAGAGAGAGTATTGTGAGGGAGTATAGGAGAAAGAACGTGAAGACGGTGCTGGCGAGGGGAGCGATTCGAGTGGAGATCGATACGTCGCAGGAGAGGCTTGATCGGGTTTTGAGGGAGCGAAATCGGCTGAAAATCGGGCAGTTGATGAATGGAAGGAATGGGGTGAAGCGGATTGTGGGGACGAAGTTCGATCAGATTTGGTACCAGTGCGAAAACCATGACAGCTATTGGTATTTTAACGTGAACGAAATGAAGGCGATTTTGCGTGGAGGCGAAGTGAATCAAAACGAATCATTGAATGAATCATTGAATGAATCAATGAATGAATCCATCGATTTGAATGAATCCATCGATTTGAATGAATCATTGAATCCATTGAATCATCAATTGAATGAGTCAACCAACGAATCCTTCGATGCATCCATCGCTTTCAATGCATCGCTCCCTAATTCCACCGACTCTCCTCCCTCTCCCTCCGATTCCTCCACCCGCAAAGACCCCGACTGGAGTTTCATTCTGAAATCGATTTGCCGCGGGGACCACCACGGGCTCGCGGGCTCCGCTCTGCGCCTGCTGAACCAGAGCGTGCCCTCCTTCCTCCCCTTCACCCCGCTCACCTGGAAGAACGCGCCGTTCTTCGCCTCCTCGCCCGTGTTCTCCGCTCTGCCCTCGCTCTCCACGCTCTTCCTCGCCTTCAAACCGCTCCTCTCCTTCTCCTCCAAAAAACTCCTCTGGCAAACCGTCCTCACCGCCACCGCCGCTCACGCCATGAAGCTCTCCGACGGCGTGCAGACTCCGCTCACCGTTCCTGAGGTCAAGATCAACCGCATCGCGGCGCGGCGCAGCCAGCAGAGCAACGAGTCGCGCAGCGACATCCTCACGAAGTCCGTTCTGAACCAGATGATTTCGTCGATGGAAGTCGTCCCCGTCGCGAGCTTTCGAAGAGAATTCGGCCACGCGGAGGACGCTGGCCAAAAACGGAGCTTTTTTGTGAGGCTGATCGGAGAAGGCGTGTATGATAGCGGCGGTCCGTACCGCGAAATGATCGAGACAGCGATCTCGTTTGAGCCGTTGTACGTGTTGAATTTGGCCCGGAAATCGGCGAACAACGAGAACAATCTCACCAACGACGAAACGTTCGAAATCATAAACAACAACGACACAGACAACCCGCCCAACACACGACGCATGCAGTTCTATTGGGGCGTTCTGCTCGGCGTGGCGATCCGCGGCGCGATCTCCGTCTCGCTTCCCCTCTCCTCGATCTTCTACAAAAGCGTAGCCAACGAACCACTCAATCAAAACGACATCGAGAACGTCGACCTCGGCGTTGTCCACATGCAGACCAACTGGGACGAAGTCCTCGCCGCCTTCGGATCCACCTCCGAGATCATCGACGTTTTGCCCCTCAACCGACTCGACAAAACCAAACTTCTCTTCTGGGTGGACCGCGAACCGCGGTCTTTATGGTTCCAGCGCGTCTTTCGCGCCGTGCTCACGCAGAAATGGACAGATTGCGAGCTCGTGGTGCGCGGCATGGGCGCCGTGCTGCCTCTCCAGTGGATCATGCTCTTCACACACGCAGAACTCAAAACACTCATCTGTGGAAACGAGGAAATCGAGGTCCGCGACCTCCAGGAAATCGCGGAATACGCGGAAGGCGTCGACGTGCACGGCGACGTCATTCGACGCTTCTGGAACGTCGTGGAGGGGCTTTCCAGCGAGGACCGCGGGAAACTACTCGAGTTTGTGTGCGCGCGAAGCCGAATTCCCGCGCCGCCGCACCCGCCAATTTCGTTTAAAATCGCGGTTGTGAAGGGCGGCGATGAAATGCTGCCGCAGAGCCAGACGTGCTTCTCGATCCTGAAGATCCCGGCGTATTCGTCGGAGGAGGTGATGAGGAAGCAGCTGCTGTATGCGATTTATAACGCGCCGACGATGGAGCTGGACGTGCAATTGCATGATGCGGAAGGATGGGAATAATGCGCGTATGCATGTGTATATATTTGTTTATTTATTTATTATTTTTTTTGTTTGGTTGTTTGTTTCCTTACATTTTTAATTCGATTTCGTGAAATGGTGAGGAATAAGAATCATTTCATGCAAAAAAGATGAGACTTCATTTGCTTCTTGTCTTATTCGTGCTTTTCACAGCGTACTCTAAAGTATGGAATGCTCAAATGGGGAGTTGAGACTCTAGAAAGTCACAGTTGAACTTGAAGACGAGCGCGCGCTTTTAGATGGATCAACTGAGTCAAAGTGGTATTGTAGAAAGGTTCTTTTTCCAAAATACGTTGAATCGCTGCTTGGAGTCATTCCTTTCAAAAAATCATTCCAGTGCCTCCTTCCCGGTCTTTCTGGGGAATCTACATACGATGCAGTTCTAATTGATGAGATATCCGAGCCTACAAGTATTCCGTACGCAGCGGAGTTTTATTTTTAGAAAAACATGGAATCTATAATTTGTACATTATTAGTGCGAAATCAGCCTCGTCTCTTTTCGAGAATTACAACCTGACAGAATTTGTTAATTTCTATTGTTTGTCCACCTTGCATACTGCGTGTCCGCAAGGTTTTTCCGTGATCCAAAGCTTGAAGGAGATCAGACTTCACTCACCTTTTATCTTAGTTCGTCCACAGGATAACGCTGTCGATGTGGAGGAGCGGATTTACGTATAGTCGCCTCTAACACTGGACGATGTGAATCAATACGTTCATCGTGCTGGCTTAAAAACGCTTCGTTCGCATATTTTGATTCAGGAAGAAGAAGAATTGCCAATTCTCTATGCAATCATCTTGATTGCCGGATCGACCGTTCTATTCCTCGGCTTCCTTTGTGCTACTTGGTGTTGGCATGGAGCAAAAGAGAAGAAGGAATAAGCAGAACATTTTGGAAGGTTCTAGAGATACAATAGTTTTGGCACATATTAAGTTTCATGTTTGAGAAAATAATCGATTTGATTGAGCATCCTGAGGATTACCAGGATGTAGAAGCGTACCTAGCTCCTGGAATCGATTTCTCCATAGTGCTTATAAAGATGCGACCAGTGCGCTCGATGACTATCTGAAATCGGATTCGCAGGATAAAACCGCTCTCGAATTGAAGGTGAGAATTCTGTTAAGGACTCGCCGCTACAATTACGCCAAGCAGGTAGCAAAAACTCTTTTAATGCTTGGCGGAGAAGAGTCGCAGTATCTCTATTATTATGGATTTGCTCTTTTGTGCTCAGGTGATTTCGAAGGAGCATACAGCACATTCCACCGTGCCTATTCTCTGGATCCAGACGGCAGTTACTCTTTTGGAAGCCTCGCTCGCCAGTCGAAGGAATTGAACAATCTGAAAAAGAAGGGAAATGACTTGGTATCGCAGGGGAAAACGGAAGAAGCCGTCGCAGAATACACAAAAGTATATTGTTTATTGTTTAGTAGGGGGAAGAGTGTAACAAATAGGGCATTGAGCTCTGCAACTCCAAGGAACTGCAGTGTGGCTACGTCTTCCTGAACAATCGCGCTGCCTGCTACATGAATCAGCAGCGATACGAGCAAGCCTTGCAAGATCTCGATGCCTCGCTCCTTCAGTTCCCGTTCTCTCCCAAGACGTATCTTCGCGAGATTCGCTGCATTCAGCAGCAGAATTTGCAAGAACGACTGAGTGTAATTCCTTCCTATTATGTAAATGCTTTGTTTTGCGGTCGGTATTCCGACCCTGCGCTTCGCACCACTAAACGAGATTACATCCAATTCTTAAAACAACACAATGCTTTCCAGAGCAATGTCCAACCCATTTCGAATGATCACGAGCTCTCTCGCGTTCTCCGCATTAATCCGGGAACGCTGATCGTTCTAGACATTTTCGCGTCGTGGTGTGGACCTTGCAAGGTCACATTCGAGTTTTGGAATAACATGTAGAAGCTGGCGCCGTTACTTGATGAAATGAGCGTTACTCATCCTTCTGTGATCTTTTTGAAGGTGGATGGAGATAAAGTCCGCGAAGTCTCATCGAAGTATCAAGTCGAAGGTTTCCCGACGATATTGTTGATTCGAAACGAGAAAGTGGTTGACAAAGTGGTGGGATATGCGCCGGAGGACATTGAAAGCAAAATCGAAGGCAAGTTGGAGATGGAGATGGATTTGGTCTATGCCTAAACATCCGGATGATTCTCTTATTGGTACTCGTTTTTGTTTATGATGTATCTATCAATCGGAAACTCATTACCAATTTTAATATACTTTTGATTGTTTGTTAGAATGACAAAAATCGAGACTTTTTTGGATTTCCTCAGAATAATCTGATGGAGAACGCAAACACTGCTCTGGATGAACTGAAGATGATCGTCAGCGGGATGGATACAAAAGCGTCCCAGCTTGCCGTGAAGAGGATTAAGGAGATACTGGACGAGAATCCTCAGATTGTAAATGAAGCATGCAGACATATAGAAGTATTTTTCAAAGACGTAATTGGTTTTGCTCGGGATTTACGATTCTAGGCCCCTGTGCAACATAAACGCTCGATTTTATTTCTACTCGACTATCTATTCAGTTTCCGGATGATCAATGTGTTAAACTACTTTTGTTCTTCTCTTCCCAGTATTCTCGGGTCGTACTATGAATCTGTTCGATTTGATTGTTCGAATTAATAAACAGGCTGGAGATGAGTTCCGAAAGGAATTAGGTTTTATCGTAGGAAAATGGTATCAGCAAGGACTCGTTCCTTACTACATCATCGACTTAATCAACGTACTTTCCGTTCCTTTTCTCACATCCACAGCGGAAAATCTACTCCATCTGCACATCTCCCGAAGAACAGCAATCCTGGCACATGAACTTAATGACGAAAGTAATTCCTCGCCAAGCGCAGCCCGCGCCTCCCATGCCCCAGCCCAGCCAGCAGGTGTTAGTATACGACGGCATCGACACAACGAAAAGCGAGCTGAACGCTCTGTTCACAATCAACTCGGATTTGCTCGAACGCAAAGTCCACGCCGTAAATCCGCGCGCTTTTCGCTCACAAACAGACCGTTCAGAGCCATTTCGAATACGTGCGTGACGTCTTCCTCTACCAACTCGAACAAAACAAGCGGAACAATGTTCCGCAGCCGGAGATCCGGCCGATCGCCGCAAATCCGGACATCGGTCCGATGCATTTCGATTTCGACTGGGAAAAAGATCGAAAAACGCTGCAGAGCGAAGGGCGACGCTACTTCTTCAACCTCGAAAAGAGCTACCGCTTCTCCTGCGATCACTGCGGCGTGCTCATTCGAAACGAAGTGGAAGTAGGAGGGATTTTTGGAATTCCAGAAATAGTACAAAGCGCATTTGTCGAACCATCTGCGCAATCGCGAGCTTTTCGAGCGGCAGAAGGTCAGTCGCGGCTGGCTGAAGCGGCACGTGGACTGGATCGATGAGGGCCGTCGGAAGGATATTCTGGAGGAAAAAGAACGAGTGGGGATGGGAAGAACGTTTGAGAATAGGAGCCGAGCGCTCGCGTGATGTACGATTTGAATTATCTGCGGTGCGGAATCTGCGGAGAGCAGCTGGAGACGGAGAATGTGAACGATGGCGTGGATAATGGGTTGTTGTAGGGGAGAAGGAAGGGAGCGAGGTGTAGCTTTAAGGACGTGGTGCGACCGGATCCGCAGGGACCGATTTATCACAAGGGATGCTATCGGATTCAGCAGAAACAGAGGGGAATGTGAAGAGAGAGAGAGGGAGTGGAATAGAATGGAATGATGTGTTTGTTGGATAAAGAGGGAGGGAAAGGAAAGAGAGAGAAGTAGGAAATGAGTCTATGAATCAATGAAACTTACAGTGAATGAATTGAATGAATCATAATACAATCCACAATCCATTCTTCAAATGATTCTCTCCTTTACAACCATTCAATTCAATCTTTCCATTCAATTCATTCAATTCATTCAATTCATTCAATTTATTCAATTCATTCAATTCATTCAATTCATTCAATTCATTCAATTCATTCAATTCATTCAATTCATTCAATTCATTCAATTCATTCAATTCATTCAATTCATTCAATTCATTCAATTCATTCAATTCATTCAATTCAATTCAATTCAATTCAATTCAATTCAATTCATTCAATTCATTCAATTCATTCATTCATTCATTCATTCATTCATTCATTCATTCAATTCATTCATTCATTCATTCATTCAATTCATTCAATTCATTCAATCAGTCTATCCACACATATTCCACTCCATTTTCCAATCTCTTTCAAACAAACACTCCACACCATCGCCATCAAACTACTCTGATATCGCTTCGCCTTCTCCACCAGCTCCTTCACCATTACTTCCCTCGCCGCAATCTTCTTCTCCCACTCCGCCTTCACCGCTTCGATCTTCCCTTCACTCCCTTTTTCCTCCCCTACTTCTCTCTCCACCTCCGCAATCCCGCGTCTCTCCGCTTCGCACGCTTCCTCCGCTTCTTCGCTCGCCTCCTTCGCTTCCTTCGCTTCGCGACGCAGCCCTTCGATTTGCTCCGCCTTCGCGCGCTCCTCGTTCGCCACGCGCACGCGCAGATCGTCCAACTCGCTCTGAAACCGCTGCGCCTGCAATTGGAGTTTCTACCGTTCCACAGTTTCCACAGTTTCCACCTTTTTCTCAATGGTTTTATCGGTGAGCTGCTGTTTCAAGTCGCGGATCTGCTGCTTTAGTGTTTCGATTTGTGTCTCCAACTCATTCCTAAAATCGAGCTGTTTTTTTATTTCCTCCAGTCGCTCCACAACTCCCCCCAATTTCTATGGAATAACCGCGGGACATCGCTACGGTGGAAGCCTGGCTCATAATCGCGGATTGGGATTGGAGGTCGGTCAGCTGATTGCTCAGCGTTCGACATTCCGCCGTGAAACGCGCGTATTTTTCGCGGTTATCGACCACTTCTTGCTGCCATTTGATTGGACGCTGTGAGTTCTACTTTGAGTTTCCGCGGGGAAAGAACGATTTGGCTGCTTAGTGTTTCGTACGTTTCGTTTTCTTCTTTGATTTGTGTTTCGAGTTGTTGCTTGCAGTGAGGAGTTTCATCGATCATTACGATGGTGCGCGTGATCTCGCGTGTTTCGATTCGAATAGAGTTTCCTATCTCTTTGAGTCGCTGCTGCTCGAGATTTAAACGCTCGATTTCCTCCTCTAAGCCTTTGTTCGTTTCTTTCTGATGCACAATGATGTCGCGATCGTACTGCTTTTTCGCTCTACATATCGAAATAAACAAATTTTAAATTACTCCAGAGCGTCGCGTGTGGTTTGCTTCAGTCGAATGTCAATTTCGGTCCGACGTATCTTTTCGGTCAGTTCATTCTAGTTGAAAAACGAATTATGTAAGTAAATCTACTTTACGAGTTCGGTAGGGTTGCAATTCTAGCACGATTTGGTCAGAAAAGCTAATGAAGTTTATAGCGGCGCTAATCAATTGCCGAAATCTTGCTCCCGTTGGTTGCAATAGATCAGATAGAGAGAAATCGTAGACGCAACAGGTTTCCATGAAACCCTTTCTATTGAGTGAATCATCCGAAATAAACGTTACAAAGGCTCAAAGGCATTGATAGCAACCAATATCGTAGAGTATCCATCAAGTGAGTACTTTTTTGCTGTATCTCGGTCAAATGATGTGATTTCGTCAGATGGAATGCCGGAGCAGACGCTCATAAATTGAACCAGTACCTCAGCAATCTTGGCCGGTTTGGGACTGTTGATTTCCTCAATCTCCAACGGAATATTGAGTTGTTTCATCACATTCACGATTTCATTGTCCTTTAAAATCGGAAACGAGTACTTATCATCCATCCCTCAAACAAAAATTTGAAATGTTTTCTCTCCTTTCTCCAACAAACAACCCAATCGTATTATTCCTTCATAATCCGCATCAACTCTTCCATTTCTACACATCAATCCATTCCACCAACAATCACCATCCGGATCATCTTCCTCCTCCTCCTCCTCTTCTTCTTCTTCCTCTTCCTCTTCATTTTCATTTTCATTTTCATTTTCATTTTCATTTTTCTCTTCATTCTCTTGTTCATTCTTCACTTTCTCCTCCTCCTCCGCTTCTTCTTTTCGTTTTTCTTCGTTCTTCGCTTCTTCCTTCATCCCCGCGGTTATCCCCGTCTCCATCCCCGCGGTTATCTCCACCTCTTCCTGCTGCTTCGCCTCCCCCTCCCTTTTTGCCGCCAAAATTTCGGCGCGGGATCGCACATGCAGCTCCGGTCCTTCCCGCGCCCGCTTCGCCTGATGCCCCGCGGCAAACCGCGAAACGCCCTGCTTCGCCTGCTGCGCCGCGCGCTCCAGTTCCGCGGGGGAGCGCGTTTGGCGGGGCTCGAAGCCGAGCGGGTCCAGGGACGCGTTGGCGCCGTCGATCACGCGAAGCGGTTTTGCCGCCAAATTTTTGGCGGCAAACGAGGAGGACGAAGTCGCCGCTGACCGCTTGAGGGACGTGGAAACCGGGGAAACCGGGGAAACGGTGGACATGGAGGTAGGAGGCTTCGCTCCATTTGGTTGAGGTTTAAAGGTGGAAACTGGAGAAACTGGGGAAACGGAGGTCTGGGACGTGGAAGTGGCGGCGGTGGGGAGGATGTGGAGGAAGGGGCAATTGTCGCCGTTCTTGCAGCATCCCCGCTTGAAAAAGGCGCATTCTCTTTGCATGGGCTGCGGCTGGGGCGCGTAGGGATGTGGATAATGGTAGGGATATGGCTTGGGATAGGGTTTGGGATGAGGGGCGGTGGGCTGTGCGTAACAAGGAACAAAAAACAAAACCAAGGATGTTAAATGAATAAAAGGGCACTCGGGATCGAAACACTCTCCACGGAGGTATTTCACGCAGAGGATATTGATATTTCGTACCTTTGGGTTATGACGGAATTTGCAGCTGTCTCCCTACGCAATAGTAAGCAATTCGTTCAAACAGACAAAACCTATCAAACTTACTTTTAAACAACCGGTTGTTAAGAAGTACCAGCAATCATGGACTTCCGGTTTCGTTGCTGCCTCTCCATTCGTATCTCCAGTCACAACAGCAGTCGTCTAGGGAAAATGAGCTCCTCCACTCCTCAGCAATTATTCCACTCAATCACTTCAAGGAAATTCACTTACACTTTGATCAGAAGGGTTATTATTGGTTGTAGGTGGAAGATCAGACATTGCTAGCAATATATCAAATTAAAACAAACCAATCTTGCAGCTACAAAGCCCTATTGTGTAGAGAAAGGCCAAATTTGCCTAAAACTAAGGGGCCATTTCATCATTTAGGACCCTATTTCTAACAAACATAACTATCACTTAGATTTAAAAAATGTATAGGACAAATCTTTAAGATCGTTGCAAATAGGCAAAATCTTAGTGTTGTTGCGATAGTAGTTTTTCACTTGGTCCATATACGCGTAACACACAATCGACATATCCGATTTATCTTTTTCCGTATTATACTTATCAAAAATCTGCCTGTACAGCGAGCTACCTTCAATCCCTTCCCTCATTCTTACTCATGATGAACCACGTCGGTAGCGAAGCCATCGCTCGGCAAATAGAACGAATAGCCTTGGAATCGCAAGTGATCTGAATATTGCACTTTATTACACCCATAATTGATAAATCGTTCATCATACAACAGCGTTGAGGCAGAGTTCCGTAGCATCATATAACTACGCATTTCACACACTCCATACCATCCATACGGTTCTTGAAATCGAGTCGAATAACAATTCAATCGCATCACCGACCGCGCCGGCGCATCGACCCACACTTTCGTTGCATACAACTACACGTAATTCCACACAGTAATATTAAAAAAACATGTGTTCGCGAGAGCGGCTTCTTCAAACTGCATCGCTGCTCTCGAATGCACTTCCGAAGCTGCAATTTCGTTTTGGGGAAGTATTTATCCGATCTAGTTCGCACTCAACATCCAGTTCTACAGAGCCGCGCACCCGAGCAGCGATTTGCACTTGTTCAGCATCAACGGACGCTGGATCGAAAACACTGCCGGTACGATCACCGCGGTTTTTTTAGATTGCAGAAGAGAGCGAGGCAGCGAGCGCAGAACCGTCCGCAGATTCGCTATACTAAAAGTAGAAACGTGGAAGCACGGCTTGGCCACATATCCATATCGAGCATGAGGAAATGCGTGGTGCGAACGTTGCGAATCCCGATGTTTCGAAGCAGATTCACGGGGAAATCGTAGTAATCGAGGTCCTGGGGTTCGACGATGTAAAGAATGACGGTGAATTTGAGCGGCAACCGAAGATCAGCGATCGTCTGCGTGGCGTTCGCGATAGCGTTTGCATTGATTTTGATGGTGGCGATGAGAAATCCATTCCACCGCTCTGCGAAGTAGTGCAGAAAGGGAATGCGATCGATTCTACGCGTCACGCCACGAAGGGAGCGGAACGTCGCTGTGGTCACGATCGTCACGTCCATTTTTTTCGAAGCGATTTCGCTCCAGTCTGTGTGTCACTCAAACAAAACAAAAGAAAAACCTTCGCCGCGGAACTCGTAGTCCCCACAGGACTGCGAGCCCACACAGCGAAGACAGCGCGGGCAAAGCCCCTGCTTCTCGCGCGCGGGAAGAATCGGACCGAACCATTCCTTGTGTTCTTGGCGCACTTCAATCAACCATTTGCATTAAACTCTACGGTACGCTTCGCGTTGTCGCATCGATTTCGTGCGCACGACTTTGTCATGGCGGGAAAATCTAGTCACTCAGAAGCAGAAGCAGAAGGAGAAACGGAGTGTAGGCTCTGGCTCCCCGCGGGGAACTGGGAAGGGAGCCCAGCGACTGCAGGTTCAGTGACGAAAATATGGGGTAAAAATGTCGCTTGCCCTGGACGTCGATGAAACGCCCTTCCAATCCTGGCGAATCGGTGGCGTTCGATGGAAGAGAATGATCGGAAGAAGAAGAAGAAGAAGAAGAAGAAGCAATCAATGAGTTGGATGTTGGATTGAATGAATTGATCGGGTTTTGAATGGATGGAGAGGAGGGTAGGGGAGAAGGAGTCGGAAGGGACTGTGTGGGAGCAATGGAAAGAAGTGGATACAAGAGAGGGTGAAGAATCTATGGAGGAAGAAGGCGATGATGAAGATGAAGATGGCGATGGCGATGGCGATGGCGATGTTGGTTTCAATGAAGAGAAAGAAAAGGAAGAAGAAGAAGAAGAAGGGTCCAAATTGATGGACTTTGATGTCGTAGGTAAACTCCCAGACTGAGAGGCCTTTGAAGAAGGAACGAAAAAAGGTTCAGGCTTCTTCGTTGATTGGTTGGCTGACCACATGATCGATTCTTTGTTTGCGAAAGAGTGGTTAGGCTCTTGAGACGGTTTGGAGGTTGTAGAACGAAATCCAGGAGGAACAAAACGAGCAAAACCCAAGGGTGTTTGTTTTGGCCCAAGAACTGGATGTTCTTGTAACTGACTAGTCTCTGAATGGTTTGATTCCGATCGTAGATTGATAGTAGGATTCTTAGAGATAGAAGAGAAAGTTGCGTTAAAAATGGAAACTTTCACTGGTTTTGAACTAAAATTCGAACTAATCATAAGGAATGAAACTGAATTGCACAGAAAAGAACCATCTTCAGATGGCAATACAGTAGAACTAGTTGTTTGCGTGTTCATAATGTTGCAAACTGGGAAATAATACCGAGAAAACAAATAGAATTTTGGAAAAACCCTACACAAAAACAATGGTACAAAACCAAAACTCAGCATATCGAATGTTTCCAAAGACCAACATAGAAATTAAAAAAATGCCTAGAATGGTCCGAAACATTTTTCAAAAACACGTTATACACAATACAAATTAACAAATCAGAATCGCGGTAATGACAATCTGATCTAAAGTCTTTGAGAATACTGCGATAATGCAGATTCGAATCGATGCAGTTTGGGATGAGGTTTTTAAACACAACATAATAGTAATGTCTTTGGAAATCAAAGTTGACACAATGAATCAGTGTATTCACTTAATAATACCAATTACAACATAGAAAAGAATGGTTCCATTTCCCATTTATTTCATGACTGAAGATCAGGACATTGTGATAGGAATCGATTTGGGAACAAGTACGACGTCGGCAGCAATTTTCCGAAAGGGCAAGCTCGAAACGATGCGGTTTGCGACTCAATCGAAGATAAACTCGACTGTTACGTTCAAAGGGTCTGAGATACAAGTGGGTATCGATACGACTAGCAGTTATGCTCGTTCAGGAGTAACGGTGTATGAAACAAAGCGATTGATTGGAAGGAAGTTTTGCGATATTCAAAAAGAGATAGAAAGTAATAAATGGAGTTTTGAAGTAGTTGAAGGAAAAGATGGCATGGCTGCCATCAAAGTGCCAAATCAATCAAATCCCGAAGAAAAACCTCGGATTGTATCTCCTGAAGAAGTGGCATCATACATTCTGCTGGAAGTGAAAAAGCAAGCTGAAAAATATTGTGGCTGTACTATCAAGCATTGTATTATTACGTGCCCTGTTATTTTTGATGCGTTGCAGCGTAAAGCAACCATGGAGGCTGGGTATCTCGCTGGTTTTGATATTGTGGAATTGATAACCGAACCGTGCGCTGCGGCAGTCGCCTATGCTCTGCGATTCGACCCAAACCCCGACAAAGAACATCATTATTTGGTGTACGACCTAGGTGGCGGAACGTTTGATGTTTCGGTGGTGAAGCGGAGCAAAAACACGTTCCGAGTGATCCGAACGGGAGGCGACGACCATCTGGGCGGAAAGGACGTGGATCTGAAGCTGATGGCAGCAGTGGAAGAGCGAATGGAGAACACCAGTTTGAAACTGAAGAAAAACGGCAAACTGTTATTCAAAATGCGTAGTAAGCAAGCGAAAGAGTCTCTCTCGGAGGTGGACTCGGTCACGCTGGATCTCGATTTTACGAGTGAAGAAGCGGAAGAAATGACCATCACTTCTTCTTATTTGAGTTATTTGGCCACCTCTCTCATCGAACAAACCCTCGAAATTGTCTTGAACGTGCTTCATGCTTGCTCCCCACCCTTAGAACCTTCCGACATCGATTTTGTTTTCTTGATGGGAGGATCCACCCGCTTACGAATCGTTCACTCCAAACTTTCCACTCTCTTCTCAAAGGAACGCATCGTGGTGGATGTCCGCGATCTTGTGGACACGGGCATTGCGCAGGGCGCTTTGCTCATCGCCGAAGGCAACCAATCATCGCATGCCACACAACCCGATCGCTATTATGCGGGAAATCCCGTTCCCTCGCTCAAAATATTCGATATTTGCCCACAAGCCATTCGGATCGCATGCGAAGAAAACACATTCATGGTCATTCCGGAACAGACCCCGATGGGAGTGCCGCGATCGATTCGATTGGTTCCTCTATCGAACTCGCACAAGTACACGGACATTCGGATTTATATGGGCAATTCGGAGCAGTGGAAACTCGATCGGTTTTTGGGAACGGTGCGAATTCCGATTCGGCAGAATGTTTCTTCGGTGGCCCAGACGCTGGATGTGAAAATGACATTGCTGAACTGGGAGGAAATTGATGTGGAGGTGGAATGTGAGTTTGATCATAAACGGTACCACTCTGTTGTCACAATGGGGCTTAACAGGCGAAACAAGTTAGATCTAACGGAGCTGCGGGCTCAAAACACACTTCGCGACACCATCTCTTCGAATGGGAAGGATTTGAAAAACAGGATCGCGGAGCTGTGCGATAAGTGCCGAGAGGTTCTACCGTCGGGTGACTCCTTGCGTCAAGAAGTGGATGTTCTCAACCAGATGGCTATCAATAAGCATTTGTCGAATAAAGAGCTCGAGAGTATTCTGAGTCGTATACGTGAAATATTAGCGAATCATTCTTGCTTTTCTTGTTGGAAACAGGTTTTGATGATGATCAAAGACCACTATACGCGCATTAGAATCATTGTTTCATCATAGTTCGGTTTCTTTGTAAACGATAAACATGCGATTCTCTTACTTGCTTACTCTCCTGTTGTTTGCGATTCTCTGTCTTGCTGCTGTACATATCCTTTTCGTGCGTGTGAACGTGTGTTCCTTCATTTTGAACCTGTGTATGCTCAAGAGGATGTTGACGCTGTCGATACCCCTGCCGAAGGTGACGATATTGACGATATTCTTGATGCCACGATTGAAGAACCCGAGGAGGCTGACGACGACATTAACTACGAAGCAGACGAGGAGGAACCTCTGGCGATCAAGCCTTTGAGACTGTTCACGCATCCCCTTACTGACATTCCTGAGCCTTCCTCTGATATCGAAGTGAGCTACAAGGTGCTGACTGGTAAGCATTGTGGAGCCTGTATCATGTGTTCAGAAGACTATGCCCTCACCGAGCCTATTCGTGTGATTGTGAATCTGAAGAACAACGGAGTGACTGTGTACAACGTTACGGATTGCATGGGCTCTCTGAACGATGTGGATGATTTCTCTCACTACCGCCAGAACGTAATCGTGTGTAGCTCCTAGTTGAGTTGTAGTTCACGGAGCGCAATTTCAACAGCACTTTGTACCCTGGCTATGAGATGAACTTTTTGTATGTGTTCGGCATCTACGACTTCATCGATCCTGCTGAATACCAGCTCGCTCTGACCATTTTCTACGAGACGGACAGTGATTACTACGCCTCCACCTTCCTCAACGAGACCATCGAGGTGGTCGATCACAGCCGTGTGATGGACTTCCAGATGTGCGTTGTTTGGCGAATGAATGAAGCGTAGGATGACGATTATCGCGTTCTTCTTGGCGCTGGGGTTCTTCGGCTACAAGTACATGACATCGTCGAATGGAAGAAGAGCGAGCGTTTCGGTCAGCGAGGGTAAGAAGAAGAAGCAGCAGTAAAGGAGGAGACGAAGAGATATGTGGGTTTCTCGGTTGGTATGGCGTGTTTGTTTGAAAGAGAGCACTATACTTTTATTGAGATTGTTGATGAGGTGAGCGAATGAGTGCTTCTGCGTGTACGGGAAGAGATTGTCTATTTGCATACGTACAGTTCGCTCTGGAGCCTTCTTCGGCGATGGACATTATAGAAGCCATTCGAATTGCGAAGCATGGTGCAAGTGGGAAGTAGGGATTATTGGCGAGAGCGATTGGTAGAGAGCTGACATTGTTGACGAGTGTGGAGCAGCACTTGAGTCTGAAGATTCATTCGAGAGAAAGGGAAGAGTATAGTGCATTGTTGGCATCGATTGTGATGGATAAGGAGTATCACCTGCATTACTACAATTTGCTGCGACTCTTGTATTTTTATTCTTGATATTGATATATATACTGTTTAGCTACTCGTTGTGTCTCAAACAATTGGAAACAGCCGACCTCTCCCTTTACACCTTTTTCTCCAAGCAGATGCTCCTCTTCGATCTTTTCCGCCGTGTCGATGCATCCATCTACCAAAAATACACCACTCGCTTTTCCTCCTTGCTCTGGAATCTCTGTGTGACTCTACTCGGCAGAAAGGAAACCAATCCCCTCGTTTATTCCATTGCCGCATCCAGTTTGTTGATGGCCCTCACCGTCTCCCAATCCAACCCACAAGCCAAATCCTGCCAATTCGACTCCATTCTCGACCGACTTTTCTCCGTTTCCACTTCCTCCTACTCCAAAAATCCTGCCTTTTTCCCCCTGGCCCGCGTCTTCCAATTCATTCATTCCACGTTTCCACACTTGATCCCATCCCCCGACCCCACCCGGGAGTTTCGTTTCCTCTTCTATTGGTCGCGGCTGGAACCGTCGCTTCCCCCGTGGAAATCGAAAGTCAACGAAATCACGCGCAGTTCTAACAAACAAGTTCGTTAAGCGTAGCGCTCAACACGCAGCCCAGTTCGGTTCTCTATCTGCAGAAAGTCATCGCGTACATGAAGGAAATCGAGGATCTCATGGGCGTTTCCAATTGGTGGAAACTCGCGATTCCACGAATGGAACACAATCTCGCCAATTCGAGGCGAATTCTCCAGAGAATCGTGGAAACCGGGGAATCGATCGGAGTTTCCACAGTTTCCACGGTATTTTTGGAGTTGTGGCACTATTTGAATTCCTTCATCAAAAACGTTTGGATTTCTGGAATTCCTGGAATCTAGTTGTTCTCGGCCATCAAACAGCACGCTTCCCACCCACCACCACCACCACCAATAGTAGGAGCAGCAGCACCAGTAGTAGCACCAAAAGTAGCACCACCAATCACAACACCAATGGTAACAACACCAATGGTAACAGCGCCAATAACAGCGTCAATAACAGCGTCAATAACATCACAAATAACATCACAAATAACAACACCCATAGTAACAACACCATCAATAGCCTCCTTGGCGGTCGAGGGCGCTTCGTTCTTACACTGGGCTTTGTGCTGCTATTCGAAATGCTGCGAAGCGAACCACCCAAAAAACAACGAATTTCGGAACCTTCGAAATCGAATTCGATACCTCTCCCTGCGCCGCTACGTCGCCTCCGTGCTGCCCTGCGTCGAGATCCCCGCGGAACTCATCCGCTCCATGATGAAACTCCCCGAATGGGATTGGAATTCGATGGAACTCCAGGAGGTTTTTTTCCGCGGAACGAGTCAATGGATAGATGAAACTCCTCAGTAACGCCCTGTTCAACGCCAGCCAATCGAATCCCCCCAACGAACTTCTTTTAGAATGTTCGCTGGACCTTCTGGAAACCGTTTTGCGCTATTCCAAAAATCGGGCCGAAATTGAGAATTCCAGAATTATCCCCAAATTCTGTCTGCTGCGCGGATGGGCCCATCAGCGCGGGGATGCGGACAGAACCGCGGAAATCAGCCAGCGGTTGATGGTGTGGTCAAACGAGCGAAGATTCGTCAAAGAATTCTGCAAGATGGCAAAAAAAGCCGTGATTTTTGCCATAAACAAAGTGATTTGTAGAATTGGGACGCGCGGCGTTTCTTCGCAAAAATTGACGAAATTCGGGACGATTTTTGGAAATGCGATTATTTGGCCTATTTTCTCCACCTGGAACACAGTTCCTGGATTCCCTTTTCCCCGCCTTTTTTGACTCCGTTTCTCGGTTTCTACGATTCTCCGAAGGTGGAAAAGGCGTTGGATGAATCGCTGAAAAAGGCCCTTTTTTTGGATCGTGGAAACTTCTCGGACGAAACGAATCCCCCCCTGGGGGCGTTTCATCCTTCGAAAGAACATTCTTTTTTCTGTTTTGTGTCGGATGAAACGTTCTGCGAGTTGCAGCGGCTTCTGCAGCGCAACGAATTTCCAAAAATCGTGGCGATTTTGAAGGCGTTGGTGCCCTCCATCTACCAAAAATCGGTCGAATTTTTGGAAGATGCAAAATGGAAGGAATTTTTGGAGTTGGAATATTGGATGCTTTTTTTGTCAATTTCGTGCTGTTTTTTGGAATTGTACAAATATGGCTTCTATTATTTGACAAAAGTAGGCGCTATTTTTGGAATTCCGATGGAATAGAGTTTCGAATTGTTCAAAAAGACGCTGTTTTCTGGAATGACAAAAATCGTGGAGATTTTGATCATCCAATTTTTGGCCCTTTCGGGAGATTCTTCGCTGCGTTCTGCCATTCCAGAAATCCCCCCGAATTTTGATTTCGTTTCGTCCCTCCAATCCACCCTTCTTTTTTCTCCAAAAATCGCCCCGAATTCTGTCATGGGTCAATTGCGTGCCCTAATTCTGGACTATTTTTGCATCTCCAAGGAAGGGAGTTTCATTCCGTTACACGTGAAACGGTCGGCGTTACTGTGGGAAGCGAAACGCCAGAATTCGTTCGAAGTGTTGGACGAGGCGATGAGTTTAAATTACAAGGCCGAATTCGATCGAATGGGGAGAGAAAAAATAGTCCCGAATTTTGGAAATGTGGATATTCGATGGATTATCGTGGAAATCGCGTATGACAAAAATAGTGGTGTTTTTTGCATTGGCAGAAAAAGTGGTCAGGATGAAACGCCCACGATTGTGTTTCCTCCGAGTGAAATAGTGTCGAAAATTGGAGTGATTGTGGAATCCTTTGAAACCCTCCTTCATGATAATGATGAATCATTTTTCGTTCCTCCAGAATCCAAAAATAATCCCGATTTTGTGAAAAAATGGTGGGAGGAGAGAAAACGAATTGATTCTGGAATGGCAAAAATAGTCCAGAAATTGTACAGGGAGGTGTTTGCTCCCTATTCATTTCTCTTTAAACAGTGGAAACGTGGAAACGAAATCGAGGAAATCATTCGAGAAATCATGCAATGCATCGATTGCTTTTCACCGATCGTTTCCACGTTTCTCCACTGCAATGAAACGCCCCTAACCACCGAATCCTTTGAATCTTTTCTTCCCCTGTTGGGAGTTTCATCCATTCAACCGGTTTCCCCTTTACTACTCCAAAAATACAACCGATTTTTGCTGAATCATGGCGACAAAATCGATTTGATTTTGGTTTTGTCGCCCTCTCTTCAGAACCTTCCCTTCGAATCCATGCCTTGTTTCTCCGTTTCCACTCATTCCACCATTTCCATTTATCGCCATTTCTGTCTTCAGAGCATTTCCGACTGCGCTCTCCCGCGGGAGAGCGTCACTCTTCGCCAGGGACACTACGTTTTGAACATATCCTCCAATCCAACGATGCGTTCGAATCGAATTCCTTCACTTGCAGCCTTCAGGCGATCTGCTGAAGACGGAATCGAAGCTTCTGCCCGTGCTGCTGCAGTTGGAGCAGTTCGGATGGACGGGAAAAGTCCGCAGCGCGCCGAGCACGGAGTTCGTTTTGTAGTGTTCGATGGAATTCGATCATGCAGAGAGTCGTTTCTTCATTCAGGGTATTTGTATATGGGCCATGGATCCGGCTCGGCGTATTGCAGCAACGAATCGATGTTGGAAGGCCCGGCGATCCGCGCGGTTTCCTTCCTGTTGGGATGCTCGTCGGTGCGGTTGGGAACGTTGAAGCCGGCGCAGAGCGCGAGAGAGGAGAAGGGAGAGAAGGGCGGAGAGGGAATAGGGAATGAGCTACAGAGCGGAATGAATACAGAAAAGGATTTGAAAAGTGTAATGGAAATAGAAAAGGATTCAAAGAATGCAGTGGAAATAGAAAAGGATTCAAACAACAAACAAACTTCACAACCCATCCAATTCACACAATCTTCCAACCCATCTTCTTTATCATCTTCTTTAACTTCCTCACCTTCATCCTTCTCTCCTCCTTCTCCTTCTCTCTCCTTTTCTCTCCCTCGCATCGACACCGTTCTCTACTACCTCCTCAAGCAAGCCCCCGCCGTCGTCGGCTGTCTCTGGGACGTCAGCGACGGCGACCTCGACCGCATCACCCACAGCCTCCTCTCTCACTTCCTCCAAACAAACAAAGAATACGATCTTTCCCAACTCACTACCAAAGCGCGCGCCGCCAGCCTTCTTCACTCCCTCGTCGGCGCCGCCGTCGTCGTCTACGGCCTCCCTACATCGTGCCGCATGGCCTCCAACCCGCCTCTTTAGAACGGCAGCCACGCCGAGTCGGCTGAATAGGGCAACTCCACAGAGGGCAAGGGCGCTTCGGGAGGTTGCCAGGCGGGATAGGAAGTGGTGGAAGGAGTGGAATCGTGTGTTGTGTTGCTGATTGTTTGTTGACATTGCGAAGAACCGATCGCCACGTTGGAATGGTCCAGTGTGACGTCGTGGAAAATGGTGGCGTTCTGAATGACGACGGCGCCCTCGCTCACCAGATTGTTCAGCAGTTCCGCGGTGGGCGAGACGGAATTTCCGTAGGAAACAACACGCGTTTCCTTGGGGAGATTCATGTGCAATCGCTATTTCTTGACGAGTGTGTGAGTGTTTGTACTTGGTAATGTCGCTTTAACACAAAATAAGAAGTTAACGATTTATGTCCGGGACCGTACTATTCCTTTACTGGCTTGTTTGTTCCATCTACCTCACATCCCACAACGGGACAATGCACACGGCCTTCCGGAATGATGAGCTGGTTGTTCAGCACCGATTCTACTCTCGATCCAACCCCGAGCCGGCTACCCAACGAGCAATCCGGATGTTGCTTTGCGTGGAATGTTAACAGTTTATACGTGGAGAATCGGCTCTCACAGCCGGCAATGCCGCAGACGTAGGGCTTTTCCTGCTCTAAATAGGGGACAGGGATCACTGCGGACTAGAACATTAAAAAATAAAAAGGAAAAAAGAGAAACCGTGGTATCGCCTTCGGTGACGTCGCGTTTGGTGTGCTGCTTTTGGAATTCCTTGTGGAATTCTTGGCGTTCTTTTTTGCTGATGAGCGAGGTCATCGCTTCCAGCTCTTTGATTCGTTCGCGCAATTTCTGAATCTGAATTTGTTGACGTAGATAGGACTCACGGAGGCGAATACTACGTGGAACACATATTGGGATCAAAAGTACCAGCGAGATTTGTTACATAAACTAGAGTCGATTCCCAAATGAACACGGTAAGTATGAAAATTTAAACTATTTTGATTTGTAAACGTCTTGAAACAACCTGGAATCTGGCAGGTAAACAAAGGAGCTGGAGCACTCTCTTCCTTTGTGTTTAAATTCCTTCAAATAACAATTCCCAAACACAGGCATACGATAATTGAGACAATTCATCCTTCAGTTCAGAATCAAGGCTCAATTCCGTCTTCTTTGATGCTTCCTCGTTGTGCTTTTTCTGATGGTTTGTAAATCCTGATCGAGAAGTAAACCTACGACAGCAATCCTCTACAGGGCACACATATTCTTTGGATTCTCCTAAAGCTTATAAAAAACATACAATACGACCTGTGTGCATCTTCATATGAACACGTAATGACCCGTTACGAGCAAAACGCTTGTTACATTGTTCACATAAAAACGGCTTGACACCTGTATGCTTAACCTAGATAATATAGTACAGTAACTACTTCAACTACCTCGTGATCTTTCAAGTGGGCGTTATCAATAAACGCCATATTACAAACGGCACACGTAAAATTCTTTTGCTTCTTTTTGGTACTATTCATTGAGAACGAGTGGAGGCACAGTATGGGAAGTTAAGTATTCTGAATAAAGAGCTAATTCAGAAGGCTTTGTGGTCTAGTGGTATGATTCTCGCTTCGGGTGCGAGAGGTCCGGAGTTCGATTCCCCGCGGAGCCCAATTTTTTGTTTTTTGTTTTTTGTTTTTTGTTTTTTGTTTTTTTGTTTTTTTGTTTTTTTGTTTTTTGTTTTTTGTGGATCATTCTATTACATTATATCCAATATGTGGCCATAAATAAATATTAACATAATATTAGGTAGTAAAAAATAATAAGGTACATTCCGTTCTATTTTTGCTACAATTGAATACATTCCAATGTAGCAAGTACTTTAAGTATTGTATAGTAACAGCCATTTCAGAAGGCTTTGTGGTCTAGTGGTATGATTCTCGCTTCGGGTGCGAGAGGTCCGGAGTTCGATTCCCCGCGGAGCCCATTTTTTACACTTTTTCTTTTTTCATTTCAATGAAGCTGTAATGTTTGTTGCATGACTTCTAGTATGGACAACAATTTTTGTGTGATGGAATGATACAATATAGTGGGTAGAGATGGGGAGCAAAAATGAGAGAAGAATAGTCTATTGCAAATGATAAACGAAACGACGGAAATGATGGTTTTTGCATATTATTCTTTTCTTGTAGGCTTCCTATTTAGTTTATTGATCATAGTGTTGTGAGATAAAATCATGAGAGTTGTTATTGAAAATACAAATGCGGATGCTTTGCGATTTGCTGCGGATTATATTGTGAGCAAGATCAAAGAAGCGAATCCAACAGAGGCAAAGCCTTACACGGTTGTTTTACCGGACCCCCTTCCATCGGTAAAACTTCTGTAGGCTTGGTCGATCCAAGTGATCTGTAGTTTCGATGATCTTGTCCGTGCCTTTGAAGTTGGGAGAATCTCCTACAAGCACGTCGTGTTCTTTCAATTAGAAGAATTCCGTGATATTCCCCGGACGGACAAACGAAGCTTCGCCTGGCGCCTGTACGACTACTTCTTCAAATTCGTGGATGCAAATCCGCATAACGTGTTCTTCCTCAATGGAACATCCAGCGACTTCGACCGTGAATGCGAGCTTTTCGAGGACGCCATCAAGCGCTACGGCGGAATCAACCTCATGTGCGTCCAAGTCAGCTCCGAAGCGTCGATTGGAGGAAATGCGCCGGGCAGCTGCCTCACCAGCCGTACTCGCCCCAAGACGACGACCTCCTTCGTAATCAACGACCGTTCCTACACCCGCAACGGTCTGGGGGACATTGCTGAGGAGGACATCATTCCGGTGGACGAATACGCGATTGGGAGCAACTACGTGCTAACGATGGGCCTGGGCACCATCATGGACGCGGAGGAAGTCATCGCATTATTCATCGGTCCTCCAGCGGCGCGTGCGCTGCACCACGTGCTAGAAGGCTCGGTGTCGAACATGTTCCCCGCGTCGGTGCTGCAGTACCACACGCGCGCGTGCATCGTGAGCGAGCACCGCTCGATTTCGACGCTGAAATTCACGACGGTGGAGTATTTCATGGGCATTCGCGAGAATTTCAACATCGTGAACAGCCTCCCCGCGCTGCAGACCACGCGTACCAGCAGAGAGAGGAGTCGTGACGCGTAGGAGAGTCGCCGTATCACCACGCCGTCAAGTTCACGCAGCAGCTGCCCAGCGAGTTGTTCCTCGGAGCCACCGCCGAGAGCTACCGCGAGCCGGCGCGCATTGCGTCGCAGTTCGCGGTGGAGAGAACGAGTTTGTCGCCGCTGATGGATAGTAGCTTGTCGCCCAAGACGGATACGAGCATTTCGCCGAATGTGGATGGCGTGTTTTCGCCGAACCAGGAGACGGTGGATTGAGGAGAGAGGAGGATGTGTAATGCATTTTGTACAGAATCGAGTGTTTGTTGGAGATGGATGGACAGGAGGGAGGGATGAAGGGCGTAATGTTGACCGTAGGAGTGAAACATCGCATAGAGTGCGTGCAGGGTCTATCGGCCAGCCGCATTTCGCCACTTTTTGGATTGCCCACACCTTTGCGGTCCTCAGAATATGAGCACAGAACAACACAATAAAGAGAGTGACGTAGAGCAAGTCTTTGATCCAGAAGAAGACGTTGATGATGTGACTTCCTCTGGAGCAAAAGATGCCCCGAAAGTGGATGACACTCCTATTATTTCTGAAGCGGAAAGGGAAAGGTGGGAAAAGAAACGAAATGTATCCTTTTCGATAGATGTTCTCTAATCACGTAGGAAGCGTTTGGAACCGTGTTGGATGCCGCAATCGAAGCGGATGAAAATGACAAGGAGCGAAAACCCAAAAAGAAACGTGGTGAGTTGTCTGTGAACGATCAAATTACTTTCCTTAAGAATGCCCAGGTAGGGTCTGTCTCCATCTGTGATGGGAAAGGATTTTGTAAACAAGATAGATGAAGCCTATGCAAAAGACATGGAGGCGATCTCACGAGGTGAGAACGCACTCAGCAGAATTTCGATGCTCAAGGAGATCGAAAAGCGCTTAACCGATGTGGACTTCGCACGCTGGTAAGCGATCGTTCCATTTCTGATTTGCAGCTGCCTAGCGAGTCATTTTATGACCGTTATCGCGGCCTGGCTCCGACCGGGCAACTTGGGTAATCTTCCCCCAAGCACAGTTTATCGTGATTGTGTGAGTTAACGCTCAGATCCGCACGAGCATCTACAACGTGCTGTATTCTCTGCCAATCCGCAAGGAATACGTGAAAGAGGCCGGCATCGGCGAATTGCTTGTGAAGTTGTGGCGCAATCCCAAGGAAACGAAGGAGAACCGGAAGATTCTCCACATGATCATAGAGAAGTGGCTTCGAATCGTAACGGGCATGGCGTCGACGTTCAACGAAACTGACAACGATGAGATGGAGGATTTGGCTCTGGAGAAACAGGAGTATTTGAAGCATGTTCGACGAGTTCGGGAGCCGGGATGTGCGGATTGGAGAGCAAAATCATTTATAGTCACACAGGAAGAGGAAGACCGATCGATTTTTGCGATGCTTCCAAAGTTTGTTTTTCGTGCATAAAATGATTTTTAGCGGCAACCTGAACGTTTATTTGAACGATGCTCGACCAATGAACATTCCTCATGTCGCTCCGTTAAAGTGAGAAAAGAAGAGAATGATAAATCTGTAGGTCGGACTCTGCTGCTGCAAAATTGTTAAAGTTGAAGAATGTTCCTCGAAAAAGAAATCGTTATTCTGTTTGTTATATTATTATTGGCGCACAGAAATCCGGTGCGCAAGATCACTCATTAATATTTTTTTATGTATTCGAATATCGCTGGTATTGATCTTGGAACCTCGAATTCGTGCGTTTCCATCTACAAGAATGGAAATATTGAGGTTGTCGCAGCAAGATCTGGAGAACATGTCTTCCCCTCCGTTGTTTCTTACAGAGACAGTGGAATTACGTTCGGGAAGGATGCAAAAAGTCAGATTTCTATGTACCCTAAACAAACTGTTTTTGAAATCAAGCGACTTATTGGGCATAAATTCTCTGATAAATGTGTACAAGAAGATATAAAGAGCTGGCCTTTTGAGGTTGTTCCCAATGAAGATGATCGTCCGCAAATCAAAATCAAATACGCTGGTGAAGACCATTACCTGTCTCCAGAGCAGGTGAGTGGTTTCCTCATATCGAAGTTGGTTGAAGAGGCAGAACGAGTTTCTGGAACCCGAATTACCGATATTGTGGTTACGGTGCCTGCCTACTTTAATGATAGTCAGCGCCGCGCGACTGCTGATGCTGCTCGTGCTGCAGGTGTCAATGTGTTGGGAATCTTGAACGAGCCCACTGCTGCCGCTATCGCTTATGGAGTGAGGAATGAAGAAAAGGATAAAACGATTCTTGTCTACGATCTGGGAGGCGGTACGTTTGATGTCACCATTTTGGATATTCGAGAAAACGAATACAACGTGGTTGCGACGGACGGAGATACCCACTTGGGTGGAGTGGATCTCGACCAGATCTTAGAGAAAATGATCTATGACATTGCCAGCCCTTCCTGCGATCCTGAAATTGAATGGGAAACCCAGAAGAGTCGAGCGATCCTGCGAAGAACAGCGGAGGATGTCAAGATCCAGCTGTCCACCACGGACAGCGTGGAGTTCACCATTTTTGATGAGACTTTTATCATCTATCGAACCGAATTCGAGCGAAATGCGTCTCAGTTCTTTGCGAAAACGATGACGATCGTCGATCAGATTCTGGCCAACACGGGCAAGCGATATGAGGATATCGATGATGTGGTGCTTGTGGGAGGATCGAGTCGGATTCCCTACATCAAGACGATGCTGGGAGCCAAGTTCGGAGAGGAGAAGGTCTCCTACCGAATCAATCCGGACGAGGCTGTGAGTATGGGTGCGCTGACGCGAGCGATCCAGCTGTATCGTCAGAACAATTCCAACATCGATACGCCCGTCGAAGGAGGAGACGATGAGTCGGGAATGAACCTGGTGGCGGCTCCTCATCCAGGAGACGGCGGAGACGGAGATGATGCGTACGATTTGGGAGCTGGCGATGACGATTTTGCATTCGATTCGCTGGATATTAATGATGTGGTTCCTCTCTCACTGGGACTCAAGAACTCGCAAGGAGTCATGTCCGTTCTGATTCCTCGCTTCTCGCACTTCGGCGAGTCCTTCACTCGCAGCTTCGTGACGAACAAAAACAACCAGGAATCGATGAAAGTCCGCGTCTATCAGGGCGAGCGACCCATGGCGGAAGACAATCTCGAGATTGGCTCGTTCCGCTTGAGAGGCATTCCTCCAATGCCCCGAGGCCAGGCGTGCGTGGATATCACCTTCACGACGGATCACGACGGCATCTTGACGGTGTCCGCTGTGGTCTGCCAGGTCGATGAGTACGGAGAGATCTTGACTGGCCCGGATGGAGAGCATTTGACGATTCCGGGAACCGAGTTGAGGACTACCTTCGAGAATAAATCGACGAATCTGAACGAATATGAGGTGGAGAAGATAATGAAGCAAGTGCAGGAAATGAAGGAGTATGATGCGAAAAAGCGCCGAATTGCGGAGCAGAAGAATAAAATCCAGGAACGGTCGTTTGTTCTGGAGGAAATCGTTATGAAGAACGGAGGTAGCATCGATCCGGAGAATTTGGAGAAGGTGAATACTCTGCTGAGAGATGTGAAGCGACTGATGAGAAATAACACTATCGAGGAGGACGAGTTGCAAAGCTATTTTGATTTGATAGGACAGTGGATTGAATCGCTGGATGGTAATTGATTTCTGTATTTCAATCGCTCTGTTTCGCAAACAAACAAACAAACAATCGATGACGATAATTTGAGCAAAATAAAACGCAACAAACAATCAACAACAACAGTAACAACAACAATTTGGTACTTGCTTGATTCTAAACTTACGATCTATCAATTTCTTCGTCTTCATATCCCACCGAAGAATCAACTTTCTCAGCCGATTTATGTTTCAATAGACTATTTATCAGATTATCGTCTCCTGATTGGAATGCGATGTCCACAGCACTTTTACCAAACGAGTTTTTCTAGAACCTAACAACTCACTCTCTATTCATACTTCCAGTACGTCCAAATCATCAAATGCGTTCAAGAGACTTAATACTACATCCAAATGTTGAAGAAGAACTGCTCGATCTAACTAAACAGCAAACTCTTATTCTATACGTAATGGAGTGTTTCCAGAATCGTTCTTCATGCATTTGCTTCCGTTTTCAATTAGAAAATCGACGATTTCTCTAACTTTTACTAAACTATACCAAGACAAACAAATTTCCGTTTGCAGCAGCATTATGGAGTGCAGTATTTCCATATTCATCTTTGGAATTAATATCAAACCCAGTAGCGAGTAGTTGTTTGAGTGTATCGATTTCATCATATCTGGCTATGGAATGATAAAAGGAATCGAATAAAACCAGCATCGAGAAAGAGATGAAGGTTATCCATTTTTGTAGAAAATTGTAGTATGTGTTTTATATAGTAAATGAATGAATGGCCAACTAGATGACTGAATGAATGAGTGGTTTATTGAATAAGGAATATAGTAAAGTATGGAAACGAAAAAGACGAAGATAAGGTTCAGACTGTCTAGTTTATCTCTTTTCTAAATCCCATCGTTTCAGGGATTCTGTTTCTATCATCTATTCAAAATCTACAACATTCAGCATAAAAATAGACGAGCTTTATGATAAAATAGAATACTGTAAAATACTCATATCTACCAAATCAATCTTTTGATCGATCACTGTACATTTGGTAACTCTCCAGTCATTTTCATAATACGCTTTTGTCTCCACCGGAAGGTACTGACTAAGTAAGTATTTGCTTCTTTGCGAGTGTGGCGATAAGGCGCGATGGTCAAAGGACGACTCTTATTTTGATGTAGGTAAATACAACATGGCCATCTTTGAGGGAATGTCTACTATTGAAAAGGAGGAACTTATTGTCTCCCTTGCTGCTCTCCTTTGTGCTGATGCTAAGGTTGAGGTGTCTGTAGAGATTTGTCTAGCTGCGTGATTTTTAGAAGGATAATTTGGACGCTGTGATCAAGGCCTCTGGAAACAAGATTGCTCCTTACTGGACTGCTGTTTTCGGAGGTTGCTGCCCGGGAATGGACATTTTGGATGTCCTTGCTGCCCCTGGTGCTGGAGCTGCTGCTGCCCCCGCTGCTGGAGCTGCTGCCCCTGCTGCTGAGGAGAAGAAGGAAGAGGCCAAGGAGGAAGAGGAAGAGGAAGAGGAAGATATTGATATGAGCGGAGGCGGTCTGTTCGGTGATGATGACGACGACTGGTAAACATCACTCTTCTAGGCCTGTTGCTACGTTTTGTTTGTTTTGAGAAAACATCACAAGAGAACAGTGTTAACACGGCAGTGATATCATCGGGCTTGCCTCCTTCATACCGATATCCGTTTTGAAGCGCTTCTTGCTCGAATGGAGTTGATGCTCGACTCCCACTCTTTTTGAATGTAAAATCCACGATCTTGTTCACCACTTCCTGTAGACTGTCTTGATTCACTCCTTCTGCAGGCATACCATTCTTCCAATAATCGTTCAGCAGTGCGACCAGATCCTTCGGCCATACGTTATCAAGCAATCCATCCGACGAAATCAAGCACAAATCTCCACGCTGTACATCCAGCGGACCACTCACGCCCATCATCGGCTACATGTCACAAATCCGTTCAAAACGAACGCTATCGGCTCCCTTTCCGAGCTGAAACGGGAAATTAAACGCATGGCACTGCTTCGGAGACACGCTGTGCACAAACCACTCCTTTCTCTGCGCTGTGGGCTGCGGAGCTCCGAAACGGAAGAGGAAAAATCCGCTGTCGCCGATGTTGTAGTAAAACGCCTTGTTATCCACGCCCAAGGCGAGGGCGCAGAGTGTGCTGCTTCCCAGAAGCTGTGTTATGAAGAGAAAAAGGGAAATACGACGGAGGAACAGGTGGATTGGGCGACCGAGATCGCTTTCCACTTTAAATCGGAGGCATCGGTGACGGGTTTGGAGATGGAGGTGTTCATATTGGTTACGAGCTACGTGGAGAGGTGGATAAGAAGCGATACGCTACGCGAAAACTCGCCAGGATCCACTCCATGTTGCCGCCAGCCGCCTACTCCATCTGCGACACCTGCTGCGAATTCTGCACATAATATAGCACCGTTCTAAGAAAACCATTAAAGAAAAAAGCATCCTCTCCTTGTTTTTTCTCTGGATGGGGAATCGACTTCGCTGCGGATATGATTTTCAGAGGGTTTACTCCATTTACTGCTGTGGAGAGCAGTCTCGTGAACTACTGCTTAATTCCTCAGAATAACGTTACAGAAGCTTTGGATCCATGGAACCAAAGCATATCTCTTTGTAAGAAGGTCCGGAGCATAGAAAAATGATTGAAACAAACAATTCTAACACTTACAACCAGATGATGGTTGAACCACGGGTTCATCAAAAACAACAGGATGCATTCCCTTTGGAATGCTCGTATTTCTGTTTAAATCACTTTGCAAAACACCTTTTGTAGCCGATTCATAAATGACTGCGTTTTAGCTAGTCATAGAAAGCATACTGTCAATAATTGTATCAAACGCTTTGTTCACATTGTCTGCTGTTAATGCGCTCGTTTCGATGTATCCCATATTGTGCTGTTCGGCAAAAGCTTGCGCTTCTTCTGAGGAAACCGTTCGAACCGAAGCTAAATCACACTTATTACCTATCTAGGTTGATAGATGACTCTAAATACTACGATGAGAATAGGCATGTCACTCGAAGAGTAGGATCCGATCTCATTGATCCACTGCTGGAGGTTATTGAACGACTGTCTGTGGGTGACATCAAAAACGATGATTGCCCCTGTGCTGCCTCGGTAATATCTGGAAATAAAAGGAATAATGAATAATGAAATACGCGGCTGCCATTGCTCTATACCTTTCTTGTCCCGCTAACAATTAGGATTAGAACAGATAAGTTACCAGTGTCCCATAATTGAGTTTTGATAATTTTATTTCCTCTTTGAACCGACTTTGAATAAAAGTCAACTCCGATTGTTGCAGAAGTATCCTCTTGAAACAAATCTAACACAAAACGGGTAAGAATACTCGTTTTTCCAACTCCAGAATCACCAACGATAACCACTATGCATTAACTCGCAAAAAGAATATTTTACTCTTAAAAAGATAATCATAATCATCCATAGCAAATAGCTATTTTAAAAAATAGCAATTTCACAAAAAGAATTAGAGTCAACGTATTTTAAACTAGACAGTCTGAACCTTATCTTCGTCTTTTTCGTTTCCATACTTTACTATATTCCTTATTCAATAAACCACTCATTCATTCAGTCATCTAGTTGGCCATTCATTCATTCATATACTATATAAAACACATACTACAATTTACTACAAAAATGGATAACCTTCATCTCTTTCTCGATGCTGGTTTTATTCGATTCCTTTTATCATTCCATAGCCAGATATGATGAAATCGATACACTCAAACAACTACTCGCTACTGGGTTTGATATTAATTCCAAAGATGAATATGGAAATACTGCACTCCATAATGCTGCTGCAAACGGAAATTTGTTTGTCTTGGTATAGTTTAGTAAAAGTTAGAGAAATCGTCGATTTTCTAATTGAAAACGGAAGCAAATGCATGAAGAACGATTCTGGAAACACTCCATTACGTATAGAATAAGAGTTTGCTGTTTAGTTAGATCGAGCAGTTCTTCTTCAACATTTGGATGTAGTATTAAGTCTCTTGAACGCATTTGATGATTTGGACGTACTGGAAGTATGAATAGAGAGTGAGTTGTTAGGTTCTAGAAAAACTCGTTTGGTAAAAGTGCTGTGGACATCGCATTCCAATCAGGAGACGATAATCTGATAAATAGTTTATTGAAACATAAATCGGCTGAGAAAGTTGATTCTTCGGTGGGATATGAAGACGAAGAAATTGATAGATCGTAAGTTTAGAATCAAGCAAGTACCAAATTGTTGTTGTTGTTGTTGTTACTGCTGCTGTTGTTGTTGATTGTTTGTTGCGTTTTATAATAATAATCTTCTCTTGTTTGGTTGTTAGTTTATTTTTTAAACGATGCATAATAAATCGAAAGTTAAGCATTCTACAGAAAAGATAACGATCCCCAAATATGCTACCTTTACGATTCTTCCTCTCACTCGCCATTCCTTTGTAAAGTCTTCTCTACCAGATATTGGAGATGTACTGAAAAGCGAGGTTCCTGCAATCTCTGAAGTAATCTCATCGGAATCGCCATCCTCGGAATCACGTTCAGTAGTTTTTCTCTGTGCCAATATCAACCATAGTTATCAGATCATGTAGAAGAGAGTACTGTTGATAATGAGCATGATACGGAAACTGAAGGTGATGCTTGGCACCAGCATACGACAACGAAAGAAAAAAGTGTTTGCTTGTCATGCGGGACTAGAAAGACGCCTCGCTGGCATAAGTCTCGTTTTCTTTGCAACAATGCAGTAGGTGAATGAATACCCTCTGACAGAAAGCATGATTTCTTTTGTAATGCATGTGCAATTCGAATCAAAAAGTACCACCTCGTCTGTTCATCTTGCCACTATGCTTTGAATCGTGATCAGGAGCAGCAGGGTATATGTCCTCGTTGTAATCACCCGTTTGTAAACCTGATAAACGAAATGGAAGTGAAGATGGACGCTTATAGTAACCAGTTGGACGCGATTTTAGCAGGAGCGGTCGCTTCGATTGTTTGTAAACAAATATGAGTAAAACTCGTCACTTTCCTCTTCTTCCTTTACAATATATTCACTAACTCGCGGTAGTTCACCTTTCATCACTCCATCCAGAACAAACGTCTCTTTCACATATTCTCTTCCCTCCACTTTCCCTATAATATATTCGCACTCATCTAGATCTTCCGTGATTTGTCCATCACAGCATCGCACAATCTCGATCAACTCATTTCGAGGAGGTTGTGTGTTCTTTGCTATAAAATAGGGGCCGTGATTTGCCAATATTCCCTTTTCTTGCTCCTTCCTCTTTTTCAATCCTTCTTCAGCAAAGGAACTGATAAAAGAATCGGGACCAACCCATTTTCCTTGTTCTAAGCATGCATAGAGCCATGCTGGTGTCACCACGGGGATGCCGCGCGCCACAGCGCACATCATTTTAACCGAGCGCACATCCTGCCCAGCCACAAGAAGATTAATCGATCGGCTGGAGCGAGAAATGAACTTCGCATCGCCTAGGCTGGAGACGAGCGAGATGAGAACATCTCGGTCTGCTTCGGAAAGCATTGTGGAGGAAAGAATGTGAGTGAGTTTGGGTTTGGGTTTGGATTTGGGTGTGGTGTTTGAAGAGGATTTGGGTTTGGTTTCTTTCTTTTTTGTAGTTTTAACAACATCTTTCTTTATTACCTTTTCTTTCTTTTCAGAAATTTCTTTTTCCTTTTCAGCGGATTCTTGGCTCATGCTGTTCTCTTTGCTTCCGCCTTTCTTTTGCTCCTCCTCCTCTTCCTCCTCCTTTTCTTCCTCTTCCATTTCCTTTTCTCTTTCTTTCTTATCCTCAGTAGCGATTGACTCTGGCGCACTCAACTCCAGTGATTCGGTTTTGGGAAGAGCATCAACTTTTAAACCCTGGTCATTATCATCACCAATCGACTGTGTCACTTCACCAGAGGCGGGAATATCCACATCACTGATCGATACAGTCATTTCTAGCTTTAAATTACCAACCAACAACTTACTGATGCTTTCCGAACGATTTGAACCCACTTCCCGCTGAGAAGTGGAAAGAGCTCGCCTAGCGCCGAGAGTTTTTCTCACAGAGTTTGACTTACCGACATTAATCGAATACAATCGAGAGGACTGCTGGGAAAGCCGAATAGCCCCACTTGCGCCAACACTCGAAGATTCGCTGATTGTACTCTCAGACCATGTCTTAGACCTGTCCGTTGACGATATCGAGGGTTTTGGAGAATTACATAAACTACATCTCGTTACCGATGGCGGATTTGAATAGGAACCTTTCTTTTATTCTAATATAATATAAAATACATGAGAGACAGATCCAAGATGCATTCATTTCGTATTCAAATGAGAAAAAATATGGTGGGTCAACCAAACATCGTATCCCCACATATCCCTCTCTATTGTTGTATTGGGTGCATAACCTTCCAATTTATTCCATCTGCTCATTGCTATACAGTGATTTGAAATAAAAGACAATAATACAGGTTCGTAACACAATCAATTGCCTAATTCTTCCTTTATTTGAGTGACACTATTCATAAAATGGCAGACAAATCACCTAAAAGTGGTATCAAATATTATGCTCTTATGTTTACAATCTATGCCACATGCGTTCTCTTCGGACTGATAGAGAATGCGAAGAGTGTGGCTTTTCCCCTAATTAAAGATGCTTACAAGCTTTCTTATGACTTTCAGGGCTATCTAGTATCTATTTCGTGGTATGGTTATGTGATTTTCTGTTTAGTCGCTGCTTTTGTTCTTGATCGCTGGGGTTGTAAGGTGGGCATAATTTCTGGTTATACTTTAACCCTTGTTGGATGTTTGGTAACAGCTGTTGTTCCCTATTTCCTAACAGTAGTTATTGCCTTAATGGTTGTTTGGATGGGCTTTGGATTCTTTGAGGTCGGAGTCAACGTGCTTGCAACACTTCTTTTTACCGAAAATAGTGCTGTCTATCTCAACTTGATCCATTTTTTCTATGGTCTTGGAGCTATTACTGGACCCCAAATCGCGTCTGGCTTTGTGAACTGGCTTAAGATGGGATATAAGGGAATCTACTTAGCCGAGGGCATTATCACCTTTGTTGTCCTAGTAGTTGTGATTCTCACTCCCTTTTCCATTCTTAAGAAAGTGGACTCCCCACAAAATCAGGAACCATCCAGCTGTGGTAATCTTTGCTCTCTCTTTAAAAGACCTTACATTTGGCTCTGCTCTATTACCCTTGGATTCATGGAAGTAATCGAGTTCGGAGCCTCCAATTGGGGCGCTCTTTATTACCACGATGTTTATGGTCTGGACGTAACAAAAGAAGGTGCTTTGTTTGTGTCGATGTTTTACATTCTCTTTGCTGCTTCCCGACTTCTCAGTGGTTTTCTCATTGAGAAGCTTGGCTACTATGTATCCCTCTTCTCCTCTCTCGTCATATCTATCATCATCTACATCGTTGGTTTCCTCTGCGGAGTAAACGGACGTTGGGTGATTCCTTTCACTGGATACTTTATCGGTATTTTGTTCCCCACGTACATGTGCTTACTAATGCAGATTTTTGGGGATGACTCTGCACGCGTTTCCTCCATTATCATCTTCCTCTCCGGAGCCACAAACGGCCTCATGCAGCTTGCTATTGGATACATTAACGAATTCATTGGAAATCAGTGGGGATTCCGCTGCAATATCATCTACACACTGATCCCTATCATTCTCTTGTATTTCGTGAGAATGCATGCTAAAAGGATGCACAAAAAGGAGAAGGAGCAGAGCACGCAGTCAGCTTCGCAGGAACAAAACGTTCAGGAATCATCGAAGTCTGTGGAGGTGGAAATGCATCCAATGGAAGAGAAGGAAGTGAAAGTGGAAACGGCACAAGACAATACGTATGTAATCGTTGCTCAGGAGAAGAGCGACATTTCTCCCGAAATAGTCGCTGTCGATCCGAAGAAAAATCCTAACGGTTCAATTCCAGAAGAGAAGGCCGTTTCGAATACGGTGTAGAAAAGTAAATGTTTTCGAAGAGTGTTGTTTGTACAAAACGGGTTTTTGGTTGTGTTTCTGTCTTCACCACAATTTTCGTATATGAAGTACTCATCGCTTTTGGTTGCGGTTATCCTTTCTGTGGCGATCGCAGAGAAGTATGCAATTATTTTCGGAACGGCGAAAGGCTGGAGTAACTATTCCATTACCAGCGTACTTGTAAATTTGATTTTCCACTTCTAGGAACCTTGCCGTGCTTACACATATCTGATCCGTGGAGGACTCAAGCCTGAAAACATTATTTATATGACATACACTGACGACGTGACGTACATACTCAATCCTTTCAAGGGAATGATGTTTACTGAGCAATCTGAAACGACTGACGGAGACTGGGCTAAGTATGGTTGCTTCGAACATGTCGACTATACGATTCCCAATATCAACCCTGAAGTGTTCATTGCTATTATCAGCGGAGATAAGGCAACCGTTCAGAACACTCTGGGCATCGAGAACCCGAAGGTTCTGAATGCCACTGAGAATGATACCGTCTTCACTTATTTCATCGACCACGGTGAACTGGCTCAGATCTTCGTGGGTCCCAGCGTGGTGAGCGAGGAGCGCTTCATCAACGCCCTCAAGGTGGCTCATGACAATCATCTCTACGGCAAGTGGGTCTGGTTCATGGAAGCTTGCCACGGCGGATCGATGTTCGCGAACCTACCTTCGGACTGGAACATTTTCGCGATGACCTCCGCTGACAAGGATCACATCGCGAAGATGAGCGAGTGTCCTCCCGACGACATGATCGCGAAAAAGCACCTGAAGACCTGCATGGGCGGGCTGTGGGACAACGTGTGGATGGACTACTGGGCGGCGCACCCGTCGTGCACGATCGGCGAGATCGTGGACGCGACGATGAAGGAAGTGGGCGAAGTGTCCGACCAGAACGTGTCGCAGTTCGGAGCCCTGGGCCTCCGCGACCTCCCTCTCTCCGAGTTCGTGGGCGAAATGCCTCCGAGCCGGTCCTCATCTATTGAATCATCCATTGAATCATCCTCTCATTCATCCAAGCGATCGCACGGAACCCTCGTCGATCGCCACGAGGTTCCTCTCCATCTCGCCAAGTGGGCCGCTGTCCGCGCTGACGACGATCGTGCCGAGGCGCTCGCGGAGTTCCAGCGCCTCCGCGTCGTCGCCGCGCGCCGCGAAGTCGAAGCCATGCGGCTCGGCGTCGCTCTCCTCGGAGAGAAGGCCGCGCTGCGCGCCTGGGAGAACGGAGCCGAGGCGTACAACGTGGACTGCGTGCGGACGCTCGGATTGGGACTGGAGGAGCACTGCGGAAGCACCAGGGACGCCATGGGAACGCTGCAGCCCGGAGTGACCAATCTGCTGAAGAGTGTGTGCCTGCCCGGTGTGCGTGCGCCGGAGGTGGACTGGGACGAGGTTTGCATGTAGAGGGAAAGTGAAAAGGCTTTCAACTTGATGTTGTTTGTTTGGCTGTTTGTTTGAGGAATTATTTATATTTATATATAAATAGGATTTGGAGGTATGAGACGGCAGGGACAGGGCCAGTGCACCGGACCGATGAGAAGGAAGCAGACAAATAGGACACTTCACACTTGAATTCAAACACATCCCTTCCACTTTGTTTTTGGACTGCAGAGAACTTAACGTCTATTGGTTCGAAAAATCATGCAGGTCGAGTAGACACACACTGGAGTGTTGATTCTAGGAATGTACCCAAGAATCCTTCGAGTGAGCAGCCGAATTTGAAAACGGAGCAAGCGATGGAAGAAGAAGCGAAAGATGCTGGCAAAAAGGAATCAACATACAAGAGACCCAAATACTACAGTTTGGGATGCTTTGATCGATTTGACTGTGTAGTTAGGGAGGAACCCTACTTTCCACTCCACAAGTGTGGAGAAATCATATCTTGCACTTATTGTGGTGCTGTGAGATTGGAGGCGAGCAATGACTGGTAGAATATCACAGACACAATCCAATTCCGATGCAACGAGTGTCCGAACATTCTCTGTAAGAAGTGTATCATGTCGCGCCAAGAAAAGAACGGACATTTGGCATCGCACGGATATCACGTCAGCGAATGCTTGGAGTAGCTTCCACTCCTTCTCCACTCCTTTCCAGAAGCATGCCCTTATACGCCCTGGACTGGTCTGCGAAAGACGAGCTCCGCTTAATGGAGGCCATGGACGAGTTCCGATTCTGCAATTGGGAGTACCTCATCATGATCATCAAGTAATCCTCTCAGAAACATCTCCAACTACGTCGACAAACCCGAACGCGCCTGCGTCGAACACATCCACGCGCTGCGCGCGGCGAACCCGCAGAGCGCCATCCGCGAAATGTTCGGGTTTTGCTTCATCGAGGGCGGGGGTTTCATGACGCTGGGCGGCATGGACGCCGCCGCGCCGCTTCGCCCGCTCTGCTGGACGCATTTCTCCTCCATGGAGCGGTACTTCCGCGTGTTCACCGCGGGGATTTTCATCGGCTCCCAGAGGGCGTTTCGCGATCTCGGAAAGTGGAATTCGTAGAAACGGGGAAGGCGTTTCATGCAGGATGGGCGGCATCATGATCGACAGCGGTTCCACGTTTTCCTATCTGATTTCCAGCGAGTATCGGGTTTTTGTGCAGGCGTTTCACTCCGCGCTGGGCGAAGCGCTCCGCCGCGCAAACCGCACTTTCCCCGCGGTGAAGCGTCTACGCGAGTAGAATCGTGAAAACGTGGAAATGTAGGCCGGTGCTGCTGGACGTGGAGCAGATGGACGGAGTGGAAATGCTGTCGCCTGAGGAAAAGCGGCTGTGTAGCGTAGGGAAGAGAGAGGAGGAGAATGGCGATTAGCTGCTGCATTTGGTGCCGAGGCATTATATGGCGATTAAGAGCACGATCATTCAGGAGTGCTGCAAGTGAGAGAAAGGGAGGAGAGTGAGGCGTAGGAACGGAATGGGGAGCAGAGAGGGAGCGAAGATTACGATGGACGTGGAGAGAAGGCAGAAGGAGTTCGATTTCTTTGTGAGCTGCGGGTGGATCACTTCGGCGGCGCAATTGAATGAATGAATGATTGTGTGGAGGAGATTGGCTTGTTTGTTAAGAGAAAATGAGGAATGGAATGGAATGGAATGAGTGTGCTGTGATGAAGGGAATAATGAATGGATAGGATGGATAGCGGAATGATAGAATGCATTGAGTAAAAGCGATTAATAAGATGAGTTAGATTCAATTGGATTGATATAGTATATCGTTTATAGAAATGGTGATTAGATGCAAGATAAGTTGGTGTTTTTTAGTGTATATAATAATATGAGAATCAGTTTGAATGAGACCATGAGATGATAGAGATAATAGACAAAGTTTCAGAACGTTTTAGATGTTGTTTGACTCATTAAAACTAAGAGTCAAATAATACTTGTATAGTTTATTTAAAAGTTATTACACGTTATGTGCACATCAATCAAATGATCTTCGATGTTTTATTGTGATTATGATTATGATTATGGCTCCAATTGGTATAGACAACAAATGGATCAATTATCTTCATATCACACAATTTAAGAATGATTAGTAGTGTATAAAGCTGAGTGGTAATCACAAGTACAATAATAGGATTTCCGCTCAATTCATATATTATTTATTATGATAATATATAGCATAACGGCAAGTTATCAAAGCAAACAGAATATGTATTTACCTAAAATTAACAAATTGCCATATTGAAACAAACAAGCTAATTATTAAGGATTGGTATAAACCAAAATAACAGTTTAAATTCATTGAATTTATCATGAAGTGTACTTAATATCGGATATTCATACCACTTTTTAGATATCGTTCGTTTTAGCTTGCGAGATATATCTACAATAGAATTAAATCATTCAAAAACAAACTCGAAATAGATTTGGTCCGAATATTTTTGAAAGCATCAGGCCCATATATGTCATTAGGCAGATAAATATCCTCAAGATTTGGAATATCTAAATACAATCAATAGTCACATTTGAAACTACTTTCTAATGTCAATGCATGAGGACCGGAGAAACTTCCCAATTTCGAATCGAGGGTAGTTAGATTTGGAAGATCTATATTCATTCATTTCAACCCATTTCGCTAGTACTTCGCATTATCAAAGAACATGAATTATCATATCTTCCACAAAGTGCATACCAACCGAGTTGAATGGATTGTAATGATGGAAGATCTATATCAATCATTTCATTCAAACTCATTCAATACTGTCGATTATTGTTGTTAAGGATTGTTCAAATGAACGATCACCTAATGTAATGGATTGTAGATTAGGAAGATCTAGTCATTCATACATTCAATATCATTTTCAATACCCTTAATCACAAATGAACTCTTTTGAAAATTGAATGATTCCCTTCCAATCGTACCAATTTGAATGGATTGTAATTGTGGTAGATTCTTCAATTCAAAGTCTCCATTGAAATCACTAAAGCAATATTCACCGATTTCGATGGATTTCAATGATTTGCAATTCAATATGTAAAATGACTTTGACTTGAAATAATCATCTGCAATTTCAATTTCATCTTCATTGTCATCTTCAATTTCAATGTCATCTTCATTTTCAATTTCAAATGTATATTCATATTCATTCCCATTATTATTATCATCTTCATCCTCATCTTCATCTTCATCCTCATGCTCATTTTCATCCTCCGTGGGCCTCATAGTGCCAGACGATATCGAAGTACAGTATCCACCCCGAG